AACAAATAATCACTGATAGCAAATAAACATAAATATGTAATCACAAAAATCAGATATTTATTACCTTTATTGCAACTACAAAAGCAAAACTAAAATATATATCAGTCAACTTACATAAACCCTCATCCATCTTAACTTTCTTAAATGAACTTTTTGGCACTGCCTAAATATCAGATTTGGAAGTGTCAAAATGAAAGTTAGTCAGCCAGAGGTATAGACACTTGGCTAAGCTTGCCTGGCTTATTAACCCATGGCAAATAATGTAAACTTTCAGATCCTGGGCATTCCTTAGGAATAATCCCACCCTGTTGATATAATATTTTAAAATATTTTGATTAATGTATAATGAATGTAAAATGCAATAAAAATATCTAGACAACTGTGAAATCATGATGCATCTACCGGTTTTAAAACTTATCGTGCTTAAAATAATTATATATAGAGTTTCCCATCATAAATTTTCAATTTATAATACATGTACAGTGTATTTCAAAATGAGAGGAAAATAAGATGAGCATTCTTAAAAAAGTTTTAAGTGATTTAATTTCAGTCAAATAATACCTATTTTACCCCGATTGTATTAAAGCTGCTGATTTGCCCTCTAAGTCCCCGTATTAAGATAACAGGCCTGGTCCGAGGCTATAATGAAATTTTAAATTCAGATCTCATGTATTTACAGCACAGAATATGTACACCGACCAATGAAAATCCTCAGATTCAATAACCAATGAAAATCCTCAGATCCAAAAACCAATGAAAATCCTCAGATTCAATAACCAATGAAAATCCTCAGATTCAATAAAGAGTTCAGATAAAGGTTTCACAATGTCAATGCCAGTCCATAGTTAGTTTGAGGAAACATGGTCATGGCCCAAGAAAGAGTTGAACCCATGATCCCTGAGTTGAAAGGCAGACACCTTAACCACTTCTCTCAACTGGAAAGGGAAGGGTAATAAATTTCAATGCCATCATGATTACACAGTTGTCAAATCATTTTTCTTGTGTAAAAAGATGTAAAACAAAAAAATTAAACAATTGAAAGACAGTAAGCAAATGAACAAATGAGATTGTGGTCCAACAGAGATCCTTAAATCATATGACTAAAGTAAATATATGTGTAAATATGAATAAAATATTGTAAAAATAATGGTTAAAATTCACAACAATCACAACAATGTATAATAATAAGCTAAAAATAAAACAGTTTTGATTGGTTAAAACTAAAACTTAAATAACAGTCCTCATTGGTTAAAAATTTAAACAATCTTGACAGGTTTTGCATTCTCTCCTATTCTATTTTATAGACCAAATAATCTGTATTTACAATTAACAAACTAAAATAACAGCACGAATAAAATTAAGTAACAGTGTTGATTTAGCATATCAGCCTATAACTTATAAAACATGCTTCTTAAAGAGCATAAAATATTGAATGAACACCAACAAAGCTTAAATGAATCTCCCTCCCCTTATATCTTTTTATAGATTTTCAGGAAACATTGTAAATTCACCCAAATTTTGACCCTGAGCTCATTTTCTATAGAGACACAACAATATGCCACTAATGTTTCCTTTCACAGGGGTTCAAAATGGTCCCATATAATAAATTCCTTAAATATGATGAATAAAGTCTAACATGTCCTCAAACAACCTGTAAATGGTGCTAACTGATATAAAATATGTTTAAAGCCAATGATTTATCTCTTTTTCATTTGATCAACTGCAATATATATATTCCAAAACATAATTATGATAATTTGCTTGTTTTTCTGTTTTAAAGTTTATAAAGCTATATATCAGTTGCCTGTAGTTAACAAAGCTATTGTTAAAAGAATAACGTCAAAATACCAATATGAAAGAAACTAATGTTTGTATTTTACATTAAAAGCGAAATTATGCATGCATAAAGCCATTGCTTAATCCTATATCCTAAATAGCAGAATAATTTTCTGTTCCGAACATTTTGTTGTGTTTATAAACAATATTCATGTGTTTTAAATAACATAGACAATTTATTTGTATGTTACAATTCTTTTGAGACTTGACAGTAAAATTACAGAAACAATAAATTTCATTAAAATCATATCCTAACTAATGCTCCACTACCCTTCGCTAGGTAGCATAGAGTAACGGAGCGCAATTGAAGATCTGATTCTAATGAGATTGAGGAAACAATATAATTTCAAAATACATATATGAATTTGATAACAGATATAGCTTTATACCCTTTAAGCAAAGAAAGCTGTTTTGCAATATTGTAAATTTGTTATAGAGACTTTGACAGATTATATGGTCATGTTTAAAAGATGGGTTATAACTATATAACCATTTTACATGTGCCATATAACCATAATAACTTACAGTATACATTTATATTCTTTTTGTCAAAATATAAAACACAATATAACCATATATTAATATGTACCAGGACATGCATGCTAATAAAAAAGAAAAAGGAGTTATAACAAATCACAATTCACAAAAACTACAATACATATATTTTGTATGACTTATGTAAATCGTTAAATATAAGTATTAATTACTCACTCTCTACCTCATCAAATATAACATACTGGTATCAACATGAATTCACATCATGGTAATTTGTTAGGCTAAAATAATCTGATTTATTGCAAAAAATCACAAAAATACACAAAATGCCATTTTAACAAAAAATTAAGAATACAAAAGTTCTTACTGCTTTTCCTGGTTGGAAGATATTAAAGTTTGAAGTAAAAGTATGCCAGTGTGATAATAATACTGACCAAAATGCTGACATGAGGTAGGGCTGCTATAGACAAAATACAACAAAATATATATACTATATTATCATTGCTCCTTGCAGCTTGTCCCTATATATCATACAATTTTGATATCGTACAATATCATATACCGGTCCTCCCTGTACAATATCATATTCTCCCTCCCTGCCTTTTGAAAATATTCAATTCCTTCTGTTATAAAAGATATTAGGAATGTAAGTGGCATTTCTGATTATCATTCTTTTTTTTTTTTTGAATCATATCTCTATGGATGATTAGATCTTCAGGTATGGAACCTTGAATGGGGAAAATAAAAAATGTGCCTTACATGAAAAAAATTTGCATCATGATATTACAATGTAAGATGTGAATAAGTTGTTTTTTTCCAAACTACTGTCAATGTTGTTACTGATGTGTTTCAAAATAAATTTAAGTATTTCACATGTAAACAATTTCTAGTTTAATCACACTTACAATTGTATTATATATGCTGTAGTATTGATTTATAACAATAATCAATCAAATATCAATCAACTAATCAAACAATCAATCAATTAATTTCCATATGCTAAATACATTTCTCATTTTATGAATCTGTCATGTATTAAGCAACAAAATAAAAGATAATGGCACAAACAAAAGTATTAAATACAAAAGTACAAAATATTTATCATGGATTTCTTAGTATAACATATCCTATTAATATTAGAATTATGTTTAAATTTTTGTCAATATTAATTGGCATGGCAAAAAAAGCAATGCAAAAAGTAAAATATCAAATACCATGAAAGCTGAAAGAACATAATATCACTGTGATAAAATAATTACGGTACATACATATATTTCTATAGAACAGAAGATACTGAAAAGGCATAAGGTGGTTATAGCTTATATCTGAATTAAAAAAAGCATTACTTCGGAATATAATTAGATCTAAAACTGATATTAAAATGAAGTTGAGTAAGAAAAACATACACAAAATTATTGGTTTACTGTTGGAACCCATCTTTCCTGAATACCAACTTACAAACATTCAAAGTAAATATATGAAATGGTGGTTCTTTGGTGGGAATCAAACACTTTCAGTGCTCTTAAAAAAACTTCACAAAATGTTAAATGTCTGATAAAAATGTACATGTCATACTTAAAATGGTAATATTTTATTTTCATAAAAGTGTTTTTTCAAAAGCATAAAAGATGCTTTTGTAATTTGTATAACTATTGATTGTCCAAATCTTTTGTTCATATGTATGAGCCTCGTCACGACAAAACCAACGTAATGCATTTGCGACCAGCATGGATCCAGACCAGCCTGCGCATCCGCGCAGTCTGATCAGGATCCATGCTGTTCACTATCAGTTTCTCTACTTGTTATAGGGTTTGTAAGCGAACAGCATGGAGCCTGATCAGACTGCGCGGATGTGCAGGCTGGTCTGGATCCATGCTGGTCGCACACGCATTATGTTGGTTTTGTCATGGCGCGGCTCATATTTAAATTTAATAGTGGCTGATGCTTCCTCTTTATCACACACCCGTGCCGATTTTGCGGCTCCGCAAATATGGTATTGCACGACCGTGCAAATATTTTGATGTGACGTCATTAGTGTAATACAAACATAATGTTAAGACGCGCTAAATGTTAGCGTTATACTATAGGTGCGTCAATGAAAAATGAGTCTCGCCAGAGGATCGCATAATATAATTTTATTCAACTAGTGCAATAAATTCAGTCTTGAACTTACACTCATCCATTATCCTCTATTTATTATCATTATTCTTATAATTGTTATTATTATACATTTTGCTTAATTTGTGGTAACAGAATTAGAGAATATAAACTTAGAGTTCCAATGACAATCAATGTTGTGACCAAAAAAAATAAATATCTTAAATGGTAATTAATAACAAAGATATTAAAATTCCTTAAACTTAGAATCAACTTTCCTTAATTCAAAGCACATAAAATCTATAACACAAATTTAAGTGGTCAAGGGGTAAAGAACTTTAGTAATAATTACATAACAATCAATGTCCGATAATATTACAAACATCACAACAATACGGACAATTATTAAAAAATACACAAGTGACTTAAAACTTATCATTTAACAAAGAGTATAAAAGCAATACTAACATTCACATTTGTACAAAGCAGTATAAAATATTATGAGCTCTGATAGTGTGAAGCAATACTGCTAAATAAACAAATCAAATTTGTTTTTTTTTACAATTTCACACACATGATTTGATAAGAAACATGTACTTGTACTTGCAGGAATATATGCGCTGATTGTAATATTATGGTGATCAAAATACAAAACTAACAAGAAAGTATTATCTATAAATTGTGAAACGGTGGTACTTTTAAGTTTATTTTGCTGAATATGTGTTACTGTTCCAGTCATGATTTGTGATATTTACAATGATGTGTCAAAATTCGTATTTAAAATATTTATCATGAAAATTGTTTTTGGAGCAATGCAAAATATTGAAAATTTTAGATAATAAAGTACAATGTGTTATTAGCATTCCTTTTAAGACCATTTTTGAAACCCATATAATAATATCTGATGTACAAGTATAAAGACATTGTATGATGAACAAAACAGCGGTGATCATATGTGGCTCTAGTCCAGATATTGTAATCTTTATAATATCATTGATTGAGGGAATATAACAACTTCTCATCTGAGATTCTTTTCCTGCTAGGTATTAAACTGTAACTGTGGTGACATTGAACTTGTGCTCTGAAATAAAGAAATATATTTATATTAATGCAGGAAATGTATACTTTAATCCGTAACCTCTTGAATGGATTTACCCTGAATTGAATTTGGAACAGTCTATTTTCATACAGACATTATCAAAAGCAAGATTATCTTATACTAAAGAAGTGAAATTCTTGTATGCAATAAGCAATTCTTTAGTAATAAGTTTCTAATGTCAGAAGCATGGACAACCCAAAATAAAATAAAACATAACTAAACTTGCAAAAACTACTCTATGTAGAAATCTAAAACTGCCATTATAGTTTCTGTACATAACATTGCTGAAATAAAATTACATCTTGTGGAGTATGAAATGTTCTATTGCACCAACAGTGAGTTTATGTCACTGGCAAGATCACACTTAATAATCTTCTTCATTCAAAATTAAGTTAAATAGGATAATGTACATGAATATATGTGGGGAAATAAAAGTTTTTTATACACACATAAAGTACTCATAAAAAACTGAAAATTTAATATCATTATTTTAAGTTTAAATTATTTGTAATAACAAACATTTGCATGAGCTGATTTTTTTAACTGATGCAAAGTTTACCAGAAAAAAAACACACACATGGCTGTGCAGATCAACAGGCATATCTTCTTCTGAATCTTACAGTTGTATACAATATCAGGGCTAATAAGTTACTGAATATGGAAATAAACACATATTTTTATGAGTTTATTGGACAAGTTCATACCCCTTCTTTGTTGTACATTTTTCTGCCTCTATCATCAAGTAATTCAGATTCCCAGTCTTCTTCTTGTGGATCAAAATTATACAATGGCATAAGATGATGTCGTAATCTGTCAATTCTGAAAAATGAAATAACAAACATTAACAGTCATATATAATTATAAAAACAAAATACATACACGGAATGCCATGATTCTATATGACAACTGAATGAATTTTTTTTTACAATTCTATTAAAACAGCAGATATGGCAAAAAGAAGTTTACTTTTAAATGATATTGAAACAAATTCTTTAGTATAGTGTTTTATATTTGATAAAATACTTTGATGATTTTCAAGTCACTTTAGATTTTCAAAAAATAAAACAGCAATAAAAAATCAAAGGTTATTAAATAACAATTTATAATCATAAGAAGTTACAATACTTACCTATTTTTTCTGACAATTAACATTACCTGAAAAATGTGTAATTTATTTTATTACAGTTTTAGAAAATGAGTTTTATCCAAGGCATGTACAAAGTTTAGACAGTGTATATATATAAAAGATGGAGAAAGAAAATAACAATTATCACTAATAACTTGATGACAAATTATTTTAGCATTTTCATCAATTCTTTTCATTAAAAAAAACTAACAACTTTTTCATCATATCAATAAATCATTAAAACTTAAATATTTCCTTTTTAAATGTGCATGAATTCAGTCAATAATTTAAAAAAATGAATAAACAACAGCTCTCCATAAGAATGCATTCTTGACTATTGTCATAATAACTCAGTAAAAAGGGGAACTCAGAGTTATGGTACTGTGCCCACCATATGAAATAATCACCGAGAACAAGTGTGTAAAGTTTCAACCCATTCCCTTGAGTAGTTTTAAAGATCTGCACACAAAACTAAACCAAAGTTTGCCAGTAACACTGACATGAGTACAATAGCTATCCCTATTCTTCGGATAGGTTGAGCAAAAAACAACACTCATTATTATATGTTAACATAAAAAAATAATAACTTACTACAAATGCGATAATGACAACAACTGCTAGAGCACTGAGAGGCACAACAATATAGGCTAGAGTGTGACTTTCTTCTTTAACTATTTGTCCAGTTGACACAACTTCCACAGAACTCCCTGTTGTTATTATAGCAGTTTCATTAGTTATTGAACCCATATTGTCAAACAGATATCAACTATATAGCAATTATAAAACCTTATCTTCTGCAAGCTGTTGCCTATATGTCAAACGCGAAGTTCTGATTGGCTAAATAGAGAATTTCCTGCTACAGAAGCTTACTAGAATTAGGTACATGCAAATGCAATGATTGCTTGCAGTTTGATTCTGTCATTTTTATTCAAATTTTTACATTTTCAAAGAAAGAAGAACAAATGACAATCATCTAAAATGGTTCTTTATATATTTATACAACTGACTTGTCTTTTATTCTATAAAAAATCGACGCAGATAAAACGTAAAACGAGATTCTCTAGAAATAATGCAGCCTGACATTTCTAATTTGACATTTCACCGGAAGTCAATTTTGCCGAAGATGTCCGAGTACTCCGCGTGAGAATGTATCACTTCCGGGTTCACAATAATATCAAATTGTATTTATCAAACTGACAAATGGTCACATTTCTTCAGAATATAGAAACAGATTCAGCTGAGTCAAAAGGTATAGGCGATAAAGCATTGACGGACATTGTCTTTGACTATATAGATTTGGCTCGTGTAGCGTTAAATGAAGTCTGGGGGGTTGTTCTGGATTTTAATGTTCAAATAAAAGTTCTTCTGCTTTTGATTTGCTGGCTGATACTGACAGTTGTTTCTGTTAACATTGCCTGGAAGATATATTGCCCAAGTATACGCAATCCAGATATTCCGGGTAAGTTATGTTTGTGTTGTGTACACTGCAGTAAGAGTTCTGTTCTATCTACCCTATAATTTATTCCAAAATGCTGCCAGATATTACAATTTACATATCCTACCACTTTAACATTAATTGACAGTGGTTTAAACAATTGACTGCATTGCAATGATATGTGATAGGATTTTTATTGATAATTTATAAATGAAAATCCTATCACATTATATCATTGCAATGCAGTCAATTGTTTAAACCACTGTCCTAGCGGTTTCGAGACGTTTCGGCCCCAAGACGTATCGGCCCCAAACTACCCAAGACGTTTCGGCCCCGGACGTTTCGGGCCGGCCCTTTACCAAATCGGCCCCAGAATAAGTACTGTATTTTAAACCGATATATTAATAACATTTCAATAAAAAAATTAATCAATTTATATATATATATTTAATCATTTTGTATAAAAACTAGATTATTATAGTAGTAGGGGGAAAGTAATCAATACAAACAGAACAGAACATAAACTTTATTTGAAAAAATATATATACACAAACAAAAAATTATAAACCATATATAGATAATATTTTATTTGAATGATTAAGAAGCAAGACACAAAACAATACTGCCAATTAGCATAAAGTATAAACAGTTAATTAGTTACACTTTGAAAAAATTACGTATAGTTTAATTAAGATCAAAAGATAATGTTTTCTAAGGAAAAATTGTAAGTTAAACTTTCTTAATCAAGAAGTTTTAGTGGTTTGTTTTATAAGTAAGTAACCAGCCTTTATTGTTTGTTACACCTTTAAAAGCATTAACGTATATCTAAATGGTTCAAGAGATCAAAAGATAATAAATAATTATTCAAAGAATTAAAGTGTCATAATTGTTTAATTGTAATTAAATAAATTGTTGTAAATCAATCAAGCAATACACTATAGTGGGGCCGAAATGTCTCGCGGAAAAGGGCCGAAACGTCCAGGGGCCGATTTTTCGACTGGGGCCGATTTGGTTTGGGGCCGAAACGTCCTGTTTGCGTCCTAGCCCTTGGGGAAAGCAGGGACACATAGTCATTAAATGACCCTTAGTCCAACTTATAGTACTACAAGTACAATAGTCACCAATACATTTTGTTTGTAAATTCCTTCAAAAGGATTTTAACATAGTACAAAAAATATCTAGGAATCTAGCCTTTAGATGCCAAAATATTTTGACTAATGCCCCCCTCACAGTGACTGCAAGTTTGACAAAGGTCTTGCTGTTTTGGCACTTGCCCAACAAATTTTGTGCAGGGTTTTTTATTATATAAAATAAAATGATGGTTGCCTTTCGACTTTATAATACATTTGACGAAGAGTACGTTAAAACAGAAAGCTGTGTAATATCTATAAATAGTTTGTACATGTAAAAGTTGGTCTTGCAGTTGAAACATTGAAACTTAAAATGCTACCTTGATACTTAGTATTAGAAACCTGTTAAAGTACCTGAAGTATGTTGTGGGATTTGAACCCAAAGTAGTGAAAGGCAAGAGATTTGGTGTCAGCTACATGAACCCTATTAATGTTCAAAGATACTTGAACATAATATTGATGGGAGCTTACTGGTATATAAGATATGTGCGTCCTTATTAGCTCGACTTTTCTATGAAAAGGGGAGCTATCCTACTCGCCCCGGCGTCGGCGTCGGCGTTAGCGTTGGCGTCACACCTTGGTTAAGTTTTTCGTACCACCCCACTTTATTTCAGAAGTATTACAAGTATGGCTTTGAAACTTACCATACTTGTTCACCATCATAACCTCCATCTACAGACAAGAGTACATAACTCTGTCAAGGTTTTTGACAGAATTATGGCCCTTTTTTGACTTAGAAAGTGTATTGAGCTTGGTTAAGTTTTTTGTACCACCTCACTTTATTTCAAAACCATTGGAGGTATTGCTTTGAAACTGACCATACTTGTTTACCATCACGACCTTCATCAACAGACAAGAGGACATAACTCTGTCAAGGTTTTTGACAGAATTATGCCCCTTTTTGACTTAGAAAATACATTGAATATGGGTAAAATCCACTTATTGCCTTAACCCTTTGAGATATTGCTTTTGAAACTTTTAATGCTATTTCACATCATTACCCCCATCTGTACGCAAGAGAAGGTAACTCTGTCAAGGATTTGTTTTAAAAATTAAGGCCTTTTATCGACTTAGAATCTTGGTTAAGTTTTTAGTACCAGTCCACTTTTTGACTGAACTGTTTGAGATATTAATTTGAAAGTTGGAATACTTGTTTACCATCATGGTCCCAAAACATGGGCAGGAGAAGGTAATTCTGTTAAGGATTTTATTTGAATTATGGCCCTTTTTGACTTAGAAACTCAGTTAAGATTTTCATTCTTGTCCACTTGTTGACTTAACCATTTGAGATATTACTTTGGAAGTTGGAGTTCTTATGTGCCATCATGAGACCTATCTGTAAGCAAGAGAAGATAACTCTGTGAAAATGTTTCTTGATTTGTACTTAGAAATTCCTAGTTAAAGTCTTGTGTGCCCTTAACTGTCAAAGTTTTGTTTTATAGGCAAGCACTAAAAAAGTCGAGCGCGCTGTCCTTCTGACAGCTCTTGTAATAATGAGCCTGAGTGACTCAGAGTTAATGAAAAAATAATGGTCTAAATTGGGTAGATGATTTTATCACCTTTGGCTTTAAACTAGTGATGCATAAAGAATATTGAATGGGTGTCAATAACTCAATACTGAATTTATTGAGAGTTGAATAAAATTATGTGAGTCTCTTGCAAACATAGTATTATTTTATTTATTTATTTCATTCAGCAAGTTTTAATAAAATTAGTAATGAGGCTAACGACTATGATATTTTATCCAAAGTAAGACCTGTTCATACAGTAAAAAGAATCCTGTTTTCATTCTGTTGCTGGCTTTTTCGGCATTAATTGCAGCTATTTTTGGCAAACTGTGATTTATGAACAAATTGGCTAAAAGTCATTCATGAATACTTTACCACTGATGACTATTTGAAATTTTAAAAAGTCTGGAGTGCACTTAGAAATAAATAGTTCAAGTCATCATTTTATTTTTGGTCAACTGTTTCATCCTCAAGATCTGCTATTATCTTTTATTTACTTGACAATATACAGTATAGTGTCTTGCCATGAATCACTATGATTGAATAGACTTACATGTTCTCAGGAATTAAAAATATTTTGGGTTCTCCCAGCTAGTCCTGGGCTACAAACAAGCTGTTACAGTTACAGCTTAAAAAAATAATGCACTTGAAACAAGTTGACTTACCTATTGTGAATGATAGTATACCATGAAGATATTGCAGATAAAATTTTATTCTAACGGAGATTAGCTTGGAAAAAAGCACATTTTTTCACCTTAGTGCAATAACTGATTAACTCCTATTAAATCTAGAAGAACGTAATCTCTTACTGCATCTAAGGTGACGATTTGCTGTGTTCCAGATAACAATTACTGTCAGAATAAAACATTTCAATTTTGATGCACAAGTCTAAATTTTATAGTACGGCTGTCAATGTAAAAATCAATATGTTGAAAATTTTCAGATGCAAAAGTTACTATTATAATATGAATAATTTGTTGACTATGATCTCATTTTTGTTTGAATTTAGGTCTTGTCTCAAAATATTCCAAGCTGAATTCAAAGGAGTACAAGAACAAGAGCAGATAATTAATACATCATGGCTTCAGCAATCAAGAAATTCTTTCAGAAAAAGAAACTGGATGTCAAGTTTAAGGTATGAATCCCATTTCAGTTATAGCAGTGACTTGAAATTACACATAATTTACAGATCATTTTTATTTCATTATATGAATTGAACCTTAGATATCAGATGATTTTACTGAACATTTTATGTTCAGTCTATGTTAATTATAAGTAAGTTGCCAATGAAATAAATCAAGTTTGTGACATAAAAATATATTTCATATTTTGCTGGTAACACATGTATGGCTTTAATTATTGCTTTACAGTAAGGTACATTTATTATCATACATGTTATTAAGAATATATCTATAAGTGTGTTTATTTAAACATCAGTGCTGTGATATGTATATACGTGTGTATATGATTACTGAACCTGAAAATACATGTTTTTTATATCTTATTAAACTCCAAATGTGTTCAATTTAAAGTTCACACAGTATGTGAATTCTTGGTATATACAATTGTTTTCTACTTTGAAATTATGTGCATGTACATTTGACTTGGTTTTTCTGCTGCAGAAAATCAAGTTCATGTATAATATATTGTACATGTATATCCATTGTGAATAAGGATATGTATAGTAATTGTACATTACTGACAATTGCAGATCCTATTTACCATTAACATTGAATTGGAAATATATACATGCATAATATCTAATAAATATACTACTAGTATTTCAAAAATTTTAAACTTATTAATAAACAATAAATATACCAATTGTGTTCATTACTCACTGGTTGCAAATCATCCAATCACATTTCAGGAAGTGAAACTTGTTTTCTTTTAATACAGTCATGTAAATGTATAATGAAGATATAATATGTGTAGTTGTGAAAGTTAAGAATAATTTTTGGTTAATTAGCTAGACAGTTCTATGGTCACCTCTATTTATATGCTTTTACATAATGCATTTAAAATAATTAGTTTAAATAATTGTTAAACAAATGTTATTTGTATTTTATAGAAAGCAGGTGAAGGTCACAAACTGAGTGAAGAAAGGCCATCTAGCTCTCGCCAACAAGCATCAAGAGCAAGTGGGAGCGGACATAGAGACGTCAACTATGAAAGGTCACTGTCAGAGGAGAAAAAAAGGGCTGCTGAGGCTGCCCTTGCTAGAAGTGAGGGCCAGGCAAAGAGAGGTTTGTTCTGTTAGCCTGTTTGATATAATTACTAGATTGTTCACAATTGAATAAACTGAAAAAAAGTTTATAAAAAGTTATATAAATTTGATGTTTGATGTTTGTACATGATATAAAATTTCATGTTAATGCTTAGGCCACCATTAGAAATATGTTTTGGTTTTTCATCACAAGGCCCAATCTAATGATACTGTGTATGTAGATTTGTTGGCTTAAATCATTCATTAGTATTTATTATGCCTAAAGACCTTTTAAGATTTTGGAAAGAACTTTTGTACATGTATTTATTATACAACTGCATTGCTGTTAACAAAGAATTTTTAAAAGATCTCCTAAAAAACAAACTTATCACTACAGACTATACAGATTATGTGTTAACTATTCATGAAAATGAATATTTTGTTATTTTGCAAAACATAATACATTTTGTAACAATATTATGTTCTGTCAATGTAACACTTTTTATCACTTTCATAGGTCCAGACCCTTCAATGGCAGCCAAAGCCAGGATGAGACGAGAACACGAACTAGAGAAAAAGAAGGAGCAAGAAGCTATGGCCCTGGCAGAGAAATACAGTGAACCACAGGAGATTGTCAAGGAAAGTGCTCCAATGGTCCACCTTTTATTTAAATGTCCTGAAATCGGGCCAGCCATTTTACCGAAACACGAGATTGAAGCCATGATAAAGGAGTTTTTGCTGAGTCAGCTTGCGGAGGAACCCGAGATGGCATCTGCTTTAATGATTCAAACTCTAAATAAAGACAAAGAAAGAGTGAAGATTTGTATTGAAACATTGTGTAAGTATTTAGACAATGTTATGAATAATCCAGGTGAAGAAAAGTTCAGAAAAATAAGAATGTCGAATAAGGCGTTTACTGAAAGAGTTGCACCATTGGAAGGTACAGAGGAGTTTCTGCAGGCAGCTGGTTTTGAAATGAAGATGTTGCCTTTTGAAGATCACGAAGAGAGGTTTTATGTTATGGAAGAAAACTTAGCAAATGATATTGATAGGCTTAAGAATGTAAAAGATGTCTTACAGGCAGCGGAGCCAATCAAACCTCAACTTGACCGTGCAACCAAAGTTTTTTACCCGTCTAACTCTGCTGCAAACTTTACCATTCCAACAGAATTTTATATGATATCCCCTCATGAACTAAAAAAGGAACAGCAAAGAAAGCAAGAAGCTGTTGAAACACTCGGGATGTTGAGAACTAAAGCAATGAGGGAGAGGGACGAAAGACGGCAGCTGTTAAGATATAAATTCACACTCATTCGAATTCGATTTCCAGACGGTAACTTACTCCAAGGTACATTTAAAGCAACAGAAAAATTACCAGCATTGCACGAATTTGTGCGAGAAAATTTAGAAAATGACTGGATGCCTTTTCATTTATTTACCCAAATTGGTGCAAAATTGGATGACGAAAATAAAATGCTGGCCGAGTATGGCCTAACACCAGCTGCTGTTGTGAATTTTGAATGGGATAAAACTGTGTTACAAGAGGTGACGGCTCAACAAGGAACAACAGATAAATCATCACCATTAAAAAAAGAAATCCTGTCAGAAATACGAGAATTAGGAAATTGTTGATTGTAATCATGCATGTTTTATTTGATGTGTAAACTTTTATACGGAATGGAAAAAGACAGAAAAGTTAATTGTAGTTTGATTAATTAACTGATTAATCTGTTGCATTAAAATCAATAGCTTTAGAAGCCAACCCAATTAATCATAATTAATTTTCATCATCATTTGTTTTGTTAGATAGGTTGAAGGCCAAACACATTGACACTTACTGAAAACAATTTTTATTTGTCTTATTAACTTATGTAAAGAATTTTTAGAATTAAGCAAGAAAGTCTGTCTATTTGTCAGGGAAACTCCGGTGTTACATGTATATTACAAATGTAGGAGCATGAATGATCAAATTTTAACACATCATTAGAGTTTGTCAGATATATGTTAGAATTAATGCAAGATCCAGATAAAATCATTATACTTTTCTTGGTGGTGTAATAACTGACATTTTGCTTCTTCTTGTTGAACAAAGGTTTCATATTAATGCATCTAAAGTTCTTATGTTAGGAAACCTGTATGTGTGCATTTTTATAAAAGCTTAACTTTTATTCTTTCGTGTTGTGATTATTGCTTGCTCATATAGGTATAAAATATACTCTAAATTTTATAAGTAATTTTTCTTCAAATATGATAATGTGTTGCTATCCTTAATTATGGTTATTACTTATTAGTAGGAAGTTAAATTTGAGTTTTTAAGAGAGAAAATTTTACATTTGGCTGTATTTGTCCTGTATATTAATTGAGCCGTTACCATATAACCTGTATCTAAGTGTGTTTATTTATATGCAGACAGGGTTGTAAAAATTTAAGTTTAATCAAGATTTATTTCTTGCCTATGATGTAAAAAAGATATTGTGATATATAATGATTCAATATACTAGTAATTGCTTCACTACAGGATATTTTAGATGGTCTATAATAATAATGAATGGATTATAAAACAAAACATCTTTTTATAAAGACATAACAGTGGCACCAACAGGGTATAGGTCATATGACTTTCCAGCTTGACTGGTGGAAGAAAACCTCAGGTGTCCCTTTGTGCATTATTTCAGGCACAAACAGGCACCCGAGTAGAACTACTGATTTCTGTACCCTACCTGGATAGCTTCCTCACATGAAAGCATCCAAAGTCCCTTCCAGGATTTGTACAAACAGCGGTGAGGGGCAAGTGGTTTGATGTCAAGGACCTTAACCACTCAGCCATGGACGCCCCTGCATCAAGTAATATTTGATTTTATAACATTGTTGTAAAATGAAGCATTGCAGTTAATTAGATAATATAGTGTAGAAACCCAATCACTGTATCATTTATTGCAAGGCGATAAAATTCAATGTGTATGCTTTATTGCGAGCACAAGCACCTGTTACTCCTGATCATTCTATCATTAATTGCAAGCTTTCATATGTATGATTTCTTGCGAGCATAGAAGGAAGATGTGTTTACCAAGAATAAAAGTTGGTGATATCTGTATTACATAAAGAGTGCTGGAATATGAAAGACATGTATAATCATATATATATTGTCACAGAGATATGTAACTGTCATGTCTAATAGATATAGTGCTTTAAATTTCATTTTGTAAAAATGTTTTCTGACATAGTTATATTATGATTAGCTATTATATGTACAAGTCATTAAATGATGCGAGTCTGGTATGAAATCTGTGTTTAAATGTTATAACTGTATGCATGGGAAAGTAATTTATGAGTATTTATTAAACTAGGTCATTGATTTCTCTATTTCATGTTATGGGTTTAAAGCTCTACAACAGTTGTTTGCATAAATTTTATTTTTAATTCTTTGTGTCCATTAAACATAGAATTTAATAATGTTTTGTGTCTCAAAATTTAGCATTTTCTTTTTAATTCATAAAAATGACTTAAAAATGAACATGTCACTCCAATTGTGCTAAGAATCTAACAAAATGATGATTCTGGAAAAACAGGAAGAAAGAATGATTTTAAAAAATTTCACACAAGTTAATAGTTTAGACCTTCATCAAATGGTGTACAAATCTCGGAAAATATATTTTCAGTCCAGTCATGCCAAAAAACTTCAGTGGAGTCCCTTTAAGGGCTAATATTGTACAAATAGAATTTACAGTAAACAACTTTATATTTTATACTGTAATAATCGTGATTTGCATAATTATTTGAACTCTGTAAGCGGATGTGTGTAAATGAATACTGAATTGTCTTTCCCTCGCTTTCATGGCATTCCTTGAAAAAATATATAACAGGTGTAAATATTTCTTGCTGATATGTTAATGGTATATGTATGTATTAAGGAATAAATTTTGTTCAAATTAAATACATTTATTTGTTATTTCCAGCTTTATGTTGAATGTTAGGAAGGATATACTAAATTTGAGCTTCCTTACAGCAGCACCTGCAATTATTTTTAAATCGCAAGGTTCCAAGGTTAGGTATTTTTATTTCAATAACTGAAATTGAGTTACCCTTGGATTTTTCCCAGGCTTGGTCTTAAGCAGTAAACCTCTGTATAGTTACTGTTCGCAGAAATTATTTGTAACATCAGAATATGCAGATGTCTCTTACTTATAGATGGTAGAATTTTGGTGAAAAACTAAATTCTGTCATGTTCTGCAAAAAACATTCAAAATTTCACCTGCATTGAAAACATTTATACATTTCTTAAATCACATATATATTTTTCTTAAGTTTGATTTTTGGAGATTTTACTAGGTAAAGGTGTCGAGATCCACATCCATGTGATAATACATGTAGATAAGTTTGGTAACTAGGGGTTGCTGTAATTAAAACAAGAGAGTCATGATGACCCTGAATTGCTCACCCGTGATTCATGCAAGAAGAGTAAAGCCAGTTATGAAGTCACATTGGGTTCATTGTAACTTGGTGCTTGATAATTTCAAAAACATTTGAAGATGTCTATTACAATATGCTTTGTGACAAATATCTAAGCTCTTGGCATTGTAATTTCACACATGAAGACCGTTTTACTATGAAAAACTATATAAGTGACCCCCAGGGTGGGCCAGTTTTGACCTCAGAGGCATGATTTATAGATTTTTTTGTAGAGGACCACAAGCTGATGCTTCATGCAAAATACCTTAGCTCATTGCATTGTAATTTCTGAGAAGATTTTTTAAGACATTTTTCCTATTCAAGTCAATGTAAACTAAACAACCTCAAGGGTGGGGCAATTTTTAACATCAGGAGCATGACTAACTGAACATTTGTAGAAGTCTATTTGGCAAGGCTACAAGCCAAATATTTAAACTCTTGGCATAATTGTTTCACAAAAGATGACCTCAATATATTTTTCTATAAAAGTTTATAAATATTCTTAGTGAAACAAATGGTGGGGCCAGCTTTAATCCAAGGGGCACGATGGACCATAACGAGATGCTTCATGCAAAATACTAAAGTTCTGGGCACAATCTCACCAGAAACAACTGTTTTTCAGTGTTAGAAATAAATTTTTAAAACGAAAATATTCAGTAGAATCTACAAAACTGCAGATAAAATATGAAGGCCAAGATCGCTCACCTGACCAATCATACACATCAGAGCAATTACTTAGGTTTGATGACAATTGAGTCAAAATTGCAACTACTAGAGTAATAACAAGGTTTTTCCATATTTGGACAGTGTGATCTAGTTTTTTACCCCAGGTGACCCATATTCGAAAGTGATCAAATCATCAAATCAAACTTGCAGACCAATTTCCAGGATATTTGGGTAACAGTACTTTTATATTTATAGCTCCTGTGACCTAGTTTTTCATTAGATGACCCATATTTGAATTCATTTGAGCAATTATCTAGACAAGCATCCGGACTACTCCAGATTGGGAATGGACATTTTAAAATTCAAGGACCATCCCGGACCGGTGGGAACCCTTTTTACAAGTCTATATAAACAGAGTGACCATTGGACAGGGCCGATTTTGACCCCAGGGATATGAATTATTAAATTGTGATGCTACATGCCAAATTTCTAAGCTGAAGGCATTGTTGTAGTTTCTGATAAGTCGTGCAAGTTATTTTTACTATAAAAATCTATGTTAACCAAGTTACCTGTGGGGAACAGCCATTTTGACCCTAGGGACATGTGGCTAGTTGTCATGTATGATACTATCAACAAAACATTTTGTGGAATTATTGACATTTCACTTTAAAATTTAATGGACAGGTATTGATATAGACCAATTATTCTATCATATCTATTTTTAAGAAACAATGCCACAAAAACTCACATATTTTGATAATTCCATTACTTATATACATGTACATGGCAGACGAGCACCATTCCTGTCAAAAAGTGCTTGCTTCCCATTAAGAAGTGCAATAGGTTAGCAATTTTTATTCAATTTGACAAGCTTTATTTATTTATACGTTTTGAAAATGTCATTTTTATACCCCCTTAAAATACATGGATATGGGATAATTAAACTTGACTGGCTCTCTGCATATTGATATATACTCGCATTTCAAATATAAATCAATGCAAGTCTTTCCAAAAATACTGTGCAAATTGACAGACCAACTGAACGCTACAGTAATATGTTCTAAAAGGAACTGTGGCCAATAAAATTGTGCAGAAACTGTCATCTCTGGTTTTCTTCCAACAGTAGCAGGTAAACTTAGGCATATAACAAGAGTATAACTGCAGTTTTATAACGACAACAATAGGATGCAAGTTATATTTTAGAATAAAGCAACAACAAACAAGAATGACATACTTTCTTGACTTCTTTACTTTTTCTTGAACAAAAATGTGATAGCAATGAAATGGTAATATGAGGCAGAAAAAGTAGTCCCCAATTTAAAATGGCTTTTGTATAAATGAGCATGGGAACAGTATAGCCTCCTGTAACCACTCCTCTACCTTTGCTCAGACTCTTCAGTTACCTCCCCTTGGAAAGTGTTTTTCTGAAGGGCCGTCAAACAGAGAGAAATGGCACATGATGCAACACTGAAGGAATCTCATCAATGTTGTACGTCTGTGTGAGACCTGCTCAAAATCTCCACGTTCATACAGCAAAGATGGATCCTGGTGATAATGATCTCAAGGTTTGATGTACAGAATATAGCCAACATTTTGCCAGGTGTTCGTTACCATTCTGAACAACAACGTTCTTGATATGGAGGTGAAATCTGGGGACGTACTTATTCAGATCATGCCAAAACCCACAAAAAAGCAACAAAAAAAATGAACATGAATGTGTAATGGAGATATAAAAATGAAGAAAGCATGAGAAAAGTAATATGTACGCATAAAAATGACAAGATGTTGATATCAAAATCTACATATGATGTTGTATGTGTAAAAAAATCTTAAACAAGAAAGTTTGCTGGAAAAAAAATAATCTTAAACATGATTGGTTAACTAACAAAACAGATTACCAATTTCATCATGGTAGAAAGATCATTAACAGAAATTTTATACAGTCAATTTAACAAGAGGGCCATGATGGCCCTGAGGTCGCTCACCTGTATAGGCCCTGGAGTGGGGCCAGTTTAAACCCCAGGGCTTTTATTTGAACAAACTCGGAAGACACTCATTAGAAGATGTTTCACAATAATAAGTTTTAACTACACACATGTAATGAAAAACAATGATCTCACCCGCCCCCGTCCGGTCCTTCCCCCTCTTCCCCACCCCCCCTGGCAGGGCCAATTTTCACCCAAGGGCTTTTATTTGAACAAACTTTGTAGACATCCATAAGAAGATATTTCATGCTAAACATCTAAGCTCTAGCTCATTGGGTTTTTTAAAAGAAGATTTTTAAGTTTTTACTACACACTTATAGTTAAAAACAATGACACCCCTGGGGCGGGGCCAGTTTTGACCCCAGGGCTTTTATTTGAACAAACTTTGTAGCCGTTTACTAGAAGATGTTTTATGCTTAATATCTAAACTCTAGCTATTTAGGTTTTTTCAAAGAAGATTTTTTAAGTTTTTACTATATGCATATAGGGAAAATCAAGACCCCCCGGGGCGGGGCCAATTTTGACCCCAGGGCTTTTATTTGAACAAACTTTGTAGCGCTCACTAGAAGATGTTTCATGCTTAATATCTAAACTCTAGCTATTTGGGTTTTTTCAAAGAAGATTATTTAAGTTTTTGCTATACACATATAAGGAAAATCAATGACCGCCGGGGCGGGGCCAATTTTGACCCCAGGGCTTTTATTTGAACAAACTTGGTAGACACCCATTAGAAGATGTTTCATGCTGAATATCTTAGCTCTAGCTCTTTGAGTTCTTTCAAAGAAGATTTTGTAAGTTTTTACTATATGCATATAGGGAAAATCAATGACCCCCTGGGGCGGGGCCAATTTTGACCCCAGGGCTTTTATTTGAACAAACTTGGTACACACTCATTAGAAGATGTTTCATGCTGAATATCTTAGCGCTAGCTCTTTGGGTTCTTTAAAAGAAGAATTTTTAAGTTTTTACTATATGCATATAGGGAAAATCAATGACCCCCTGGGGCGGGGCCAATTTTGACCCCAGGGATTTTATTTGAACAAACTTGGTAGACACTCACTAGAAGATGTTTCATGCCAAATATCTAAACTCTAGCTATTTAGGTTTTTTCAAAGAAGATTTTTAAAGTTTTTACTATATGCATATAGGGAAAATCAAGACCCCCGGGGCGGGGCCAATTTTGACCCCAGGGCTTTTATTTGAACAAACTTTGTAGACACTCACTAGAAGATGTTTCATGCTTAATATCTTAGCTCTAGCTATTTGGGTTTTTTCAAAGAAGATTATTTACGTTTTTGCTATACACATATAAGGAAAATCAATGACCCCCGGGGCGGGGCCAATTTTGACCCCAGGGCTTTTATTTGAACAAACTTGGTAGACACCCATTAGAAGAGGTTTCATGCTGAATATCTTAGCTCTAGCTCTTTGAGTTCTTTCAAAGAAGATTTTGTAAGTTTTTACTATATGCATATAGGGAAAATCAATGACCCCCTGGGGCGGTGCCATTTTTAACCCCAGGGCTTTTATTTGAACAAACTTGGTACACACTCATTAGAAGATGTTTCATGCTGAATATCTTAGCTCTAGCTCTTTGGGTTCTTTAAAAGAAGAATTTTTAAGTTTTTACTATATGCATATAGGGAAAATCAATGACCCCCTAGGGCGGGGCCAATTTTGACCCCAGGCATTTCATTTGAACAAACTTGGTAGACACTCACTAGAAGATGTTTTATGCCAAATATCTAAGCTCTAGCTCTTAGGCTTTTTTAGAAGAAGATATTTAAAGTTTTTTCTTTCGGTTGCCATGGCAACCAGAGTTCTGCATGGAATTAAATTCTTTGAACAATTTTTAAAGGTGACCACCAAAGGAACATTCCTGTGAAGTTTGGATGAAATTGGCTTAATGGTTTATGAGGAGATGTCATTTAAAGTAAAAGTTTACGGACGGACGGACGGACGGACGGCCGGACGGACGACGGACGGACGCCGGACGAAAAGTGATCACAAAAGCTCACCCTGTCACTTTGTGACAGGTGAGCTAAAAATTGTAAGAACTAGTCTGTGTTAGAAAACACTTTATAACTGAAGACATATGTTTCAATGCAATCTGTGTGGAGACTGTTAAGACAAAAGAACTAAGTCTTCTTTTGAGAATAAAATTGTCTTAATAAAGGCGCTTAATGAAGGAATGTTTATATATACACATGACTGCAGTTGGTTAAAAGTTTGAACATTGGCTACCAAAGTTCTCCTTCACGGTCTTTGGCAGGTACTTCAATGACTCGAGGCTTGTCGATGATGCGTGCTGTTCTGTTTCCTTTCTCCACAATACCTATGATCCATGACTGATAACCTTCTTGTTTTTCAATGTCCTTACAGAAGGCTGCTGCTTGTTCCCTTGGCAATGCTATCAAAAGGCCCCCTGCATCGAAAAATATATTAATGAGAATTTATCATGATTGTCATTAATTACAAACTTTGATCAAAAGGAGACTTCTTGGTATTGTTAAGATCTCCAGCCAATCTGACCCTGAATAAAACAAGCTCATCATCTTAATTTAATTTTTAAGGCCTTTAATTGTTTGAAATTGTGGTCTTAAAGTTAACAGCTGATATTTTTAAAACTACTTATATTTAGGGCTGTCATTGAATATTGCAATATCTATGTATCATCGATATTCGTCATCCGGTACAATATTGATACACACTTTCAGATATAGATACAAGCTAAAATAAATATATTTCCCTCTCTTTTTTGCCTAATTAGAGAAGTAACTTTTTCTAGTTTTCTTGGCTAACTTGAACTTTAAATTTGGTTTTCAAATGTCAGTGACAAAAATAACAGAAAAAAACAAATTTTCTGTTATGTTAGTTTGAAGTATTTGCAATGTCTAATAGATGCAGGCATAACACCATGATCCCAATTTATAATATACATTTAAATGTTTTTCATTGCATTACTGTCAATGTCAATATATCGATATATCGTCGATATTTGTCCCTCGATATATCGATACAAAATATTCCATCAATGACAGCCCTACTTATCTTTATTACAGAGATGCACAATGAGCAACTGGTGGTAAAAACCTAACTTATGATGTATTTATAATCTTTGTGTCAAGATTCACACAACATATGTGTATGAAAGAGAATAAAGTGGTCACAGTGTTTTGAAACAGTGAAGAAACATTTTTCTAGTTCTTGCAACATTCTTGTCAATATAAAAAGGCTACTTAGCTTATCTATAATTTGTATAGATCTATAATAGTGACAAATAATGACAATGTTTTTAAAGGAATCCACATAGATTTTTGACATGACGGGACTGGAAATATTTTTTAAAGATTTATGTACCATTTAATGGATGTCTGGAACATAAACTTGTGCATAAAATTTCAGATCACTGACTTACTCTTGTTTATCCAGAATAATCATTATATATGTGCAAAATTGCCAAGTCACAGTTGATCTATGCAAAGATTTCAAATTTCATGTTTTTCTGTTTTTGGATCTCAGTAGAGCTCCTTTATTAATATAGCATAGTATAATTACCAGAGGTTTCTGCTGACTGTCCTTGGAGAAGACCAAACATGTTCCCACAAGCCTTGCTGATGGCCGCCATTTTTGCAATGACTGGCAAATTATGGATCACAAAAGAAACCTCATTTTTCTGGATGGACGCCAGATTCTTGGCATGACCCAGCAAGCCAAATCCTGTCACATCTGTTGCACCATGGGCATTGAACTTATGCATTAGTCTTGCAGCTGTAACATACATAATGTCTGACTCACTGACAAATAATGATGTATTCTTGAAAATGACAAAAAGCTATTCATTTTAGATACCCCTAGTGTATAATATGAATTTACATCAATTGAAATCTAAATCTGCATTATAAATTACTTCAAGATGTCCATATTTCATTCATTATCACTTTTCTGCAACAGAAAATAAAGCAGATCCCATAAGTCAGAGTAAATTAACAATTTTGCTAATGACGCAAATACTGTAGTTTAATTTATTATCACCTATACATTCTCTATGGTAATTCGTTTTAATCAATTAGACTTTATTGACTAAAATATTGCTCCTCCCCCTCTCAAAATTTTTATTTGAGTTCCATCACTTAATATTTTTATTCCTTTAATGGTTTATTGCATGTCAATCCTTTAGTTAGACAACAACATTGCAAAATCTCTACACTTCATAACTCTGTCAACTGGAGCTAAATTTTTTTATTCAACATAAACCAGTATAACTCTATAAATACAACTGTTAGTTTAAGTCAAACTTGTGACCAATCATATGCTTGTTTCGTTTAACGGTGCACTAACACAAATTAGGTCATATGGGGCCGAAACATTAAAGATGATTTTGACTAACCTTGCGTTTTACAAACTTAGAGCAACACCAGGGGTCAAAACCACCTCACCTACTGGCGTGAAGAGATGCATAGACTCGAGTAATTCCAACCCATTTTGTAGCCTCAGGCAGGGATAAAGAGTGGCTGCAATGCCGATGCCTCAACCCTTAATGACAACCCCTCAGCCACAAGGCAGGACAAAAAGTGTCAATATAAATATATATTGAAGTTGTTTATTACCTGTTCTATTAAGTCTTGCCATACTAAACATTGCACGCTGGTAGGCTTTTCGGACGTCATCTTCTGTGACAACAAGTTTTATTCTGTTCCAGCGTTCAGGTTGATCTAACCATTGGTAGGCATTGACAGCAACTTGTGTTCCTAGAGGTTTAGTCAAAACTAGAACATCACCGACCACTGCATTGTCTGGCCTGTAAGTAAATATAGAAAAATAACAGTAAAATAATAGAATTTGAAATATTCCTAAACAAATGGTTGTATCCCTGGATTTATTTCTTATTTAAGGTAATGGGAAATTCAACATTATACTTTGAAACATTCAATTTCTCTTCCCTAGTTACATCAAATTATCTTACTCGGTTACTTTTTTATGTCTTAAAAGTAATATACACCCTGCTTGTTTTAAATGTTAACCCTTTCTCATTGCAGGTTCTCAAGAAATGAGACACAAACTAACCATCGACTCAAAAACAAAAGACAAGTCAGTAAATTGAATTTGAAAGGTTGTATTAAAGGCACATAAAGCCTCAGAAACTAATGAAATTTTATCCCTGTATAAAGGTAAAGTAGATTTCAGAGTAAACACAACTTACATGATGAACTCATTTGGCTGACAGACTGTTGTCCCTACACCACCAACAGTTAACCACGGGTTCATCACAGTTTGACCTCCAGTTACACTAGTTCCTCCTTCCTCAGCTAGATCCTGTATAATATAATACCATCTGTTAATTATCTATAGAAATTTGACTTGAATCATTATTTTAAGATATGCATTGGAATTTAAACAATAAAATTTACCTTGGTGGTAACATTTTAACACATATCTGAAGATTATTGCATAGAATAATAGCAAATTGCCACATATATATTCATCATTGAAATCAGTTTTGTTTATTGGGTTTTAAGTAACAAGAACAGTTTGATGGTTATATGTGACTGTTGAAGAAAGACCTCAGAGGCCCCTTTTTGCTTTTTATCAGCAACAAGTAGAACCCCAAACTTTTAGCTAGCTTACATGAAATAATTCAAAGTCTCTAACTTATTGAAATCTACTTTATCTAAAGTTCTACAAACAAGACATATTGCCTTCCCCTGCAAGTACTGAAACAGAATCTTGTAACATTTTATCAAGCTTCTGCAAACTATTACACCATTTCCAATTACATTTTTAGCAACAACAAATTTGGCCAATTGCGTTGTGAATTAGTGAAGAATTACGAATCTTACCTTGAAGCCCCTCATCATCATAGGTACCACAACGTCCCTCTCCTTTTCTGACATCTTCTGACTGACAGCCAGTAACATCAACATGTTGTCACAGTCTGTCACTCCCATTGCATAGAGATCACTCAATACATTAGCACAAGCTATCTTGCCCTGTAATAATTATAATCATGTTGACCATGTTGAGGTTACAAAAAAGTTTTGTTTGTTTGATTTTGGGTTTTACGTTACACAGACACAGTATAGGTCATTTGGCGACATTCTAGTTTTACTGGTGGAGGAAGACCTCAGGTGCCCCTCCGTGCATTTTTTCAGGCACGAAAGGGCACCTGAGTAGAACCACTGACGTTCCGTAAGCTAGCTGGATGGCTTCCTCACATGAAAAAATCCAAAGTCCCTGTCGGGATTCGAACCCACAACGGTGAGGGGCAAGTGGTTTGAAGTCAACGACCTTAACCACTAGGCCATGGACGCCCCTACAAAAAAGTAATTCATTGGACATGCTTCTATACAGGTGTCACTGTATCAACTTAAGTTTGTACAGCTTCATTAGGTTGGTGTACAAGGCTTTAAATTGCTTTCCTTTAATGGATTCTAAATAATATACATGTATTTACACTAAACAGTTAAAATTGCCCAGAAGCCTAATAATAGTATTGTATGTGTATTTGTTGTTTTTTTTGTCACTTCTCCAACATCTCATATTGCACTGTACACATTAATGCAACATTTCTTCAAGAAGGACAAAGAATGAAAGATACCTTTATGCTAGGCATAAAAAAGTCTATAGTCTTCAATTCAAGTTAAAATATTTGATCAGACAGCACAAACAAAAATTCAAGAACGGTTTGAAATTTAAAGTAATCTTTAAGTCATGCAGTTCTTATAAAAAAATCAATACTTGCCATCATGTAGGGATCATCTACCAATGGATAGAAGAAATCTGTTGTCTGCACAAGAGACAGACCACCGTGTCGAAGTGGTGTCACCGATGCATCCATACCAATCCCTGGAAAAACAACAAACACATAAATTATTATCAAAAACACACAACAGTATAATAAATTTTATATACACAGCTGCTGTTTCAATTTTCTATTACATCTCACTTTTTTCTAAAAAAAAGAAGGAAGTTTGCTGTATTATAATTTGTTATATATATACCTAACAGGTTATATGACCGTACATACAGTTGCTTGCAATACAACCTGGCATGTCTGGTTATATATCCAAACAGACATTTATATAAGGGCCATATAACCCGTCAAAAATCTTGATGACTAATATTATAAATGAAAGTCAAATACATACAACAATTTTAACATTGCTTATTTACATTAAATAAAGATTTAAGCTAATACATTATTTGAAACATATCTAGACTGATGTCTATTTAAAGCCATTCAATCAAAATTAGAATTCTTAATTGACATATATATTTCAATTTGTTTAAGTATTGAATTATGTACATTTAATTTGTATTGACTCTATATCTAATTAAACACAACAAGACTACTAGGTCTGCAGTGTACAATTTTTTTCACAAGTCTATCACCTGTTAAATTATGCACACATAGAATTAAAAATATTTTAAGCATTTTCCTCTAGATTATCTTAAACACAACAAAACAATATTCTGTGGACAATATTTTACCAAATCAATAAATCTTTCCTGTGTTACTTTATTGGGTTAAAGCCCAAGTAAAGGTTGAATAGCAATTTGCATAAACATTTTGTACTTAAAATCAATTAATGAAAATTATTTAAATGACAACCGTGTTTGTACCACCTATAATACTATAAATAGAAACCATGTGACCACTAGACCAGACATCACGTGACAGCTCCACTTTTCACCGGCCATCTTTGTAATTTGAAGTTCGAAAGGAAAACAAATATTTCGCTCGATGAAATTATTTTACCAATATATGCTCATTCTATACATCGTAACATTATCACAAATTATAGTAACAAAAATATTATGTATAGTATGGCTTTGTCCAAAATATAAAGAATACATTTAAAAGAAAAACTATTTGACCAATGTAATTTCCGACAATGGCGAATGTCTCGCATAAAAAAAGCTAAAAAAAAGTTACCCATGCGCGGGATCTGGGCCACATACTGGAAATGCGCCTGTTCCTGAGCCTGGGCATTGCTGTCCTGTTGGAGTCCCTCAAGAAGCTTGAGCAGTGCTTCCTGAGGGACTTTACACCCTCATCCCTTCAGGTCAGCAAACTTTGTAAGTCGGAAATTAGGATCCAACTCGTGTGCCGCAGGATCAAACGGACGGCGCAGAGCCACAGCGGGTGCAGGTTCCATTGCCATGAGTCAAAACTAAATCTGAAACATAAATAACGAAACAATTATCAAAATGTATCAATGTTACAGCTGAAATAGTCTCAAAAATGTCAAAATATATTTCGAACACGGAGCACACTCTAAGCACTGCGCTGTAAAATATGGCGACCTCCCTCAACGGTGTGACGCGCACTTTCAGTTGCCCGGATGTCGATAAGTTTAACGTAAGATTTTAAATCACGTGATAGCTAAGGGATCAGTTGTTAATAATTTAAAGCTTAAGTTGCGAAAGAAAAAATGCGACGTATCTGTAGTGTTTTTTTTTTCTCAAAACAATATATATCTTACATCGTCAAATAAGCAATGCCACAAAGTAATACATGTATAACCACGGATTTATATAAATATAATGTAATATAAATCCGTGGTAAAACCCAGTTTAGACTGCATCATTACATCTAAAACACTGATTCGTTTTCCAAGGTAAACTTAATTAATCTTGTGGTAATTAATTAAATTCTGCATGTTCCTTTTTCGCTTTTTTTTTTAGTCTGCAATTTAACAGTGACAAACAAGTTAGCCTATTATATAAATATGATATTTCTTACATTATAAAATGCTGTCGCATAAGGCACGGAAATATAAAATAAATTGGGTGATTCAAGGTAATACAAGACACACCTGCTTTATAAATCACAGACTCTTGGGGGTGTTGAGCTCAAAACGCATTTAAATTCCAAATAAAATGTATATTTGTCAATCCCAGCACATGTAATTATCATTTATAATTTAACAAACTTATATAATATAAACCGTTTTGAAAAAAAAAACATATTTCAACGTTTATAATGATACACATAAATATAGACGTTGAAATATGTTTTTTTTTCTTTTCAAAACGACTTATATAAATTTTTTTATATATATGACCATTACATGTGCTGGGATTGACAAATATACATTTTATTTGGATTAGGCGTTTGAGCTCCACACCCCAAGTGTCTGTGTATCACAATAATTCAGCGCATCTAAATATAATTAGATCTATATGAAGTTCGCACATAGAGGATATATTTTAGTTTTCATGCAAGAATAAATAAATAAATGGCTAGGAACGTTTTGGGTCGATTTTGGCCCACAATTTTGAGGAAATTAAATGTTGAATATAAATAAATTATTTTAATTAATATCAATTAACAAAGCAACATAGACCCTATATGCAATTAAACAAAATATATTGACAAAATATGTACAGATGACATCAAATTGCAAAATGGTTGGCCTCAATAAATACAAGTGTAAAGTAAAGAAAATGTAATTTTTTGTAAATTTGTAAGATCGCGGCGAGGTCTAAAACTTAAAATGTGTGTGTGGATTGGAGTTGGGGTGGAAATCCTCATCACCCATAAGATTCGGTCTTCTTACGAATTACGCCCTTGTATTATCATTCGTTTTTATTTTCTCTACATCTCTACATCTACATCTACATTATACTGCTTAACAATCAATTCTGATTATGACTAGCACGCGCGTTGTCAGGGAACTGTTAATAAAAGAAATTATTTATATGCAAATTAAAAAGTTAAAAGAATAAAAGTACTACAAGACTATTAATTTAAAAGACATAGTGTGCAATTTAGAATTTATAGAATGGGTCAAGCCTCTCAGTAAAGATGTTTAAACTGGGACTAGACTGAACAGTTAGAGGAAGGCTATTCCAAAGACGTATGCTCCTAGGAAAGAAAGAATTTTGATGATATTCTGTGTCCTTGAGTAGGGTAGTTCAGATTTCTTGTTTGAGTAAGGTTTTTAATCATATTTTCAAACTAGTAAGAGGTATATCTATGTATTTATACTTGTACACGGCTACATTGAAGCTACATTGTATGTGTAAGTAACAAGTGGTACACGCAAAATGTCAATGGATTATTGTTAAGAGTCGAAGCCTTGTATCAATTGGGTCAACGCGGTTTTGGCGCCAAAAATGGCAAGGGATATGGCGATTACGGGGGTATAGTAAAATGAGCTAACAACACTATCAGATACAATATTTAGAGTTATATATTTCAAGTATTTGATATAACAAAGAAACTTATACCGAAAAACATGTAAAATTACGCATAACCAAGAAAAAGAAAAAGAAATAAGTTAACCGACCAAAAGATAATTAAATTTCTTTCTATTATTCCACAATAGATCTATCACTGAAAATAGTCTTAATTCGGTTGATATTTACATATCTCCACGGTAATAGTTATTGAATAACACGTTAGTACAATAACAAAGTCGTAATTTTTATCTTTTATATGTATATTGTCATATATTTACCAACCTAATTTAGTGTTCTCAAATATATTCATAAAATAAATTAGCGGTATGCAACCTATTATCACGAAACACTGTCGAGAACAAAATCTCAGGTAAATCTCTTTCTCACTTTTTGTTGGAAAATTTTTAAGCTATTATTTTCATCTTCTTGAAAGTGATAATCAAACGATGTAACTTAATTATCTAAATAAGCATTTAAAACTTCTTGGGGTCAATGTTTATATAGAAGTGTTATGTTTCGGACAAAACTTTTTTCGGATGTCAGCAAATTCAATAACATATAATTTTTATCGTACGTAGGTACGCATTTAATAAATGAAAATAAAACTTATATTGAAATTATTTCTGGTAAAATTTTCTTTTAAAATAAAATAAGCAAATAGCAAGTAAAATATTACATTTCAAGGGTGTCGTCGATGGTCCGGCCGGTCCGGCCTTGGCCGGACCAATATTCTGGCCAAAAATGATAAAAAAACAAACAAACAAAAAACGCATTTTTAGCGATTTGACACTTAACTAGCCCCTTATGCAAATTGCGCGGTAATATACAAACATGACGCGAAGGAACAACTGTACACTGTTTATTGACCAGGTACATGTCGGTGTCCGCCAAAGTGAAGTGTGAAATTATCTTAATTGGCATTAATTGACATCGACGTGGCTTCCAACAGTTCACTGTATTTTGTTTATTCAAAATAGTAACATCACAATTCTTTAAATTTTACCTCTGTTCACATACAAGTATCTTAATATGAATAGTTTAAGATAGTAAAATATCATGATGTTTGACACAATTCCATCGGAACCAAATCAACCAAAATCATTTTCGTTTCCGAAACGAACATTTGGTGAGTACATTGTTGGCTACCACCCCGTTACAGTGCAGGATGTGTTCCGCCCTAAGTACTTTGAAGCAATCGATCTTGCCATGGCCAGTGTTAAAGAGAGATTTGACCAACCGGGATATCGCGTACTTCAGAACGTGGAGGATTTACTTATTAAGGCCGCACAACCTTTGAAGACCGAGTACACTAGAGAACTTGGTTTTGTTTGTGATTTCTATTGAAATGATATTAACCGAGACATCTTAGAGGTGCAGCTTCAGCTGCTACGTTCACATTTTGACAAATCAGAAAATAGTACTATTACTCTACCTGACGTTTTGAAAACAACAGAACAGTCGGTGCTAGAACGAGCACTGTTCTCTTAGGTCGTTGTGTTGCTTAAGATTTTGTAAGTAATTCCTGCTACTAATGCTACCAGTGAAAGGTCATTCTCGGCGCTCAGAAGAATAAAGACATACCTGAGATCGACAATGTCTCAAGTACGCTTGAACAATCTAATGGTGTTACATATTCATAAGTACAGGACAGATTCACTCAACTTACGTGTAATTGCCGATGAGTTCATTACCACTAGAGAACGACGGCGATGTATTTTTGGCAAATTTACATAGAATGAGACTCTTTGTTGTGTAAGATGATTGTGAACAAAATACAAGTTAATGCTAAACAAACGGTGGTTATTGTTGACTCATAATGTGCTGTTCTTCCATCATGTCATCGATTGTTATTTAAGCTTATACCATTGTGTGATTTATGTTAAACAATAATCCTAGTACTGTAATATTTCTTGTATTTGTTTATTTATAATTATCAGATAAAATACATCTAAAGAATTATAACAACATCAGTTATTGTTTGCTTTTCATTTGCCAAATATCAATTACATGTATTCATCTTTTATGTACACCTATCCGTCCTTCACGACGCACTTAAATCTGTAAAAAATCGTTAACATATTACTATAACTTGTACTAACGGCAGACTGTAAACTGTGCCAAATATACGGGAAAACGGCCCTGAGAGCATCCTAGAATAAAAAATTTTCCGGGGGAGCATCCCCCCGTACCCCCCTAGAATCTGGCTTAAACCAAGCAAATTGGCCGCACCAATCCCAAAATCGTGACGACGGGCCTGCATTTTATAAACTTGATTACACTCATAACTGAACTGCTGAATTGTGTCCAGGGTCTTTCAGATAGAATTCTTTTTGAAAGACCCTGTTGTGTCTGAATTTGTAATGAACCATTGAGTTTATCTCATCTCTGTACTTACAATTATGCTCCCATTCGAAGAAGTGAGGGTATATTGCTTTGCATTTGTCTGTAGGTCGGTTGGTAGACCAAATGGTTTCTGATCAATTTATAACTAAAGAACGCTTAGGCCTTAGAACTTCAAACTTGGTAATTTAATTGTTCATGACCAGAAATTGACCCCTATTGCTTTTGGGGTCTTTAGGTCAAAGGTCATGGTCAAATTGACCTTGAATGTCAAAATGGTTTCAAATTAATAACTCAACAACTCATGGGACTTTGACCTTCAAACTTTACAGGTGCATTGGTCTTGGCAAGTAGATGACCCGTATTGATTATGAGGTCAATGGGTCAAAGGTCAAGGTCATATTGACCTTGTAGGTAAAAACGGTTTCCAATCAATAACTTGACAACCCATGGGTCATTGGCCCTCAAACGGCATAGGTGCATTGGTCTTGGCAGTAGATGAACCCTATTGATTTTGGGGTCAAAGGTTCAAGGGTCAAGGTCATATTGACCTTGTAGGTTAAAACTGTTTCCAAACAATAACTTGATTAATCATGGGCTTTTGGCCCTCAAATTTCCTTAGGTGCATTGGTCTTGGCAATGACCCCTATTGATTTTGGGGTTAAGGGGTCAAAGGTCAAGGTCATATTGACCTTGTAGGTCAAAATGCTGTCTGATCAATAACTTGAGAATCCATGGGCTCTTGGCCCTCAAACTGCATAGGTGGATTGGTCTTGGCCAGTAGATGACCCCTATTGATTTAAGGGCCAGGCAGTCAAAGGTTAAGGTCAAATTGAGCTTGTGTGTCAAAACAGTTTCCTACCAATAACTCGACAACCCTTAGACCCTAGACCTTTAAACTTCAGATGTATATTAATTTTGGTCAGAAGATGACCTCAATTGATTTTTGGGGTCAAGGGATCAGAGATCAAGATCACATTGAATGACCATATAGGTAAAAACAGTTTTTGATCAATATCTCAACAACTCGTGGGCCCTTTACCTTCAAACTTCATAGGTGCAAGCACTGCATTGGTCTTGGTCAGTAGATAACCCCTATTGATTTAAGGGTCAAAGGTCAATGTCACATTCATCTTGTACATAAAAACGTTTTCCGACCAACAACTCAACAACTCGACAACTCAAGTTGCCTTGGTTGATATTTTTATTTAACTAAAAATGCTTTTGGTGTACATATTTCAAGGTGTGATATAATAAAACAAGTTGCTGTCATTAATGTGGCCTACATGACTCAAAAAATTTATGCATATATTATTTTGTACTATTTGTGATAACTTTATCATAAAATTGCTGCACACAACCATTACTCTCACATTGACCTAGTGACTAGTCTGTCATGACCAGTTAATAGCCCCTATTAATTTTTGGTCACTAGGCCAAAAGTCAGTCACAACAACCTGGCCACATGACTAAAGCCCCAGTCACATTAGAGCTTACGACCAGTGAAGACCAGTTCACGATCACCAGTGACCTCTGGTCGCGGACAATCTTTAAAACGTCTTACGACGGTCATCGGTGATCTTTTAACAGTCGCAGGTTATCTTATTTAGGTCCCACAACCAATTTCAGTCGTAGATCAAAACAGGTCGCTAGTGATCTTATAAGGTCTTAAGGCTGTCCACAGGAACTTGACATTTAAGTGATATAGCCCTTATCTCTATATAAAAAACTATAGAGATAAGGGCTATATCACTAATACACGTATATTTTGTGATCTATTGATTAAATGTCAAGTTCCTGTGGTCTTACGATACTCGCAAAAGTAAATTTATCTGTGCAAAAATGGTTTTGCTCGCAGACAATCGCTGATGATCATCAGTTTTACAAGTCGCCGGTGGTCGCAAGTAATCGTAAGCTCTTTTGTGACTGGGGTTTAACTGGCTGCAGGTAGAGGGCATACATGTTTTATAAACAGTAAACTAAGCAAATATCTATTTGTAGCTAGGCATTGTGTTATATATTTGCAGCTGTTGGCTGCTAACTTAGTAAGAATTATGTTATATATTGTAGCTAGGAATTGTGTTTTACATTTGTTGCTGGAAAGTTTATATACCGTATTTGTTGCTAAGATTTGTGTTATTTTTAGAAGCTAAGAACTGTGTTAAATACATATAACAAAGAATATTGTTATATATTATAGTGAAGAATATTGTTTCACTTAATATATTTTTGTTGTTATGAAATTTTGTTATTTGTAGATAAAGTTATTTTCCCCTACATGTATTATATTTATGAAGACAATAAAGTACTGCACACTTTACTAAAACAAAATAGTAATCATTGTTGTGACTCATTGTACAATTTCAATCATATTCATTCTTGGTCACATGACTTAATATTTAGTCATTAAACAGTTATAGAATAAGGGGTATTGTTTTGTTAATGTTGTGAGTTGCTATTGTTCAGTAAACTGTCTTGTTTTATCAATTGTAATGTTGTCAAGTATTGTCAAGTATTGTCCAATAAACTTATATAAAACTTAAAAAGTCAACCATGTAGGTTTTTCCAAGCTAAAACCGTGGTACAAACAAACTCATAATGAAAATGCTACACAGTGCACTATCAGTCACAATAGATTAGTAAACCTGTTGCACTTATTCATGTATTCTTCAAAGTTTTAACCGTGAAAGTTTGTAACCCCTGGATTTGCTTGTAAAAACCAAAAAAGTTTCAATTTCCAGAGTAAGTCTTTTATTTATTTTTTTTATATTTGGTAAGAGTGCATATAATTGAATGAGATACTATTTTTTTACATTGAATATTAATTTCCTTATCAAGAGGTGCGAGAATTAAGAACTTAGCTTCAGTTGAAATTCATGACCTTCACAGAATGGTCTACTGATCAAATTCTATGCTGAATGTAATTTAAGTTACTTCTGTACAGAACATAATTTGATTTTATACATTGATTTAAAATAGAAGGTAAGCACATTGTACCGGGTAAGGTTTTTTGTTTCATATTAACTTAAAAAGAAATAATTTTATACTTTGAATTGATTTGCTTTCAATTATTTGGAATGAAATATTGAAGTGATATTTTAACCTATGTTCTATGTATTTATAAATGTGTTATTTATATAATGGGCTTTTATTATTTGTGATTACAATTGTAAAGCCAGGATATAGCATTGTTATCTATTCTACCAACTCTAGTCTACATTATATATTTGTAGCTAAGAAATGTGTGAAATATTTGTAGCTAAGAATTGCATGTTATATTTGTAGCTAAGAATTGTGTAAAATATTTGATTAAAACTAGGAATTGTGTCTAAATACTATCATATTTTCTAAGAATTGTGTTGAATGTATATTTGTAGCTTAGAATATATTGTTTGTTAGACAATAAGTTATCTCATCTGATGCTGTATTATAGCTGATAATTGTTTTATTTTTGTAGCTAGGAATTTTGTGATATATTTGTAGCTAAGAATTGTATTATATATTTCAAGCTGGGAATTATGTTATATATTGCAGTCATATATTTGTAGTTATGAATATTTTGTAGATAGGCAATAACTTGATCTCATCTCATTGTGGGTTATGTATACATGTATTTAGCTAAGCAATAAGTTTAATTCATTTATGTTATATATTTGTAGCTCAGCAATAAGTTTATCCCATCTGCGATCAAAAATCCACAGGAGGAAGGGAAAAAACTCGGAGGCCAAATATGCACCAATGTATGATGACCAGGTAATGATTATAGAATGGCTGTTCTTTACAATTGTGTTCATTAACCTTTAGTTGATTTATTTATTGATGAATTTATTTTAGTTGATTGTTTAGGCAGTTATAAGCTTATAGGCACACTCTCTAATCTGTTTCCGGAACAAAACAGTACAGAGCTATGAGTATAAAGTTTCTTGCTAAAGGAAACAATACTTTGCCCTGACAGGGTTTAAACCCACACAAAGATCCTTACATTACCAGTCTGATGCATTAACCACTCGGCTTTGTTGTGACAACCTTTTGTTTGAAATATTTGTGACTTTTCTTTCCTAGTTTCTGTGAATAATTTGAGTGATTGTAAGTTAATTGGTCATAAATACCAGTCATAATGACCACTCAATATTGTTTTCCAGTTAATAGTTTATGTTAAATATAGCACATTTTCCAGTTAATAAATATGTATTGTTACATCCACCAGTTAAATGAATCTGTACATACATGTACATCATGGTGCCCGTAAATATAAGTCATGATGACCCACATAGTTCCCTGGTAATAGAATATGTAACATACATTAGCTCCAAGATAATAGAAGGTGTGTAAAACACTTTGTTTGGTTCCCTAATAGAATTGAATATATAATAGCTATACCATGAGTGCACATATACATGTATGTGATTTCATAGACCTCAAACTTTTTTGTCACGTTAGTGTTTATACTTCCAAACTTGGTTTGTGAGTTCAAAACCTTGTTAAAACTGCAAATTCTAAGGGATGATTATTATTATGCTTAAACCCCAGAAATGATAAGCTTGATAAGCTGTAAACATTCAATATAAACAATTTGAAATTTAAGTGACATATTAGTTGGGCTTTAAAATCTCTATTTTAGGTTAAAAATGATGAGCCAGAAATTTCTATTTCACAATTTAAGTGACATAATAGTTGGGCTTTAAAATCTCTAATTTAGGTTAAAAATGATGAGCCAGAAATTTCTATTTCACAATTTAAGTGACATAATAGTTGGGCTTTAAAATCTCTATTTTAGGTTAAAAAATGATGAGCCAGAAATTTCTATTTCAGTTTTACGACATACCAAATGACACAGCAGGTGTGTCAGAAAGTACGTCTCCTTCCCAGTTTGTCAACAATGGTGAGAGAGAGGTATTTGAGGAACAGTTAGCCAAGATACAGGAGCAACTTGTGTCAGTGATGATAGAGAAACAAAACTTAGGTCAGTACCTGTAGTATAATTTTACTGTGGTGTTATAAATTCACATGTGTATAATTGAGCCGTATCATGACAAAACCAACATAATGGGTTTGCGACCAGCATGGATCCAGACCAGCCTGCGCATCCGCACAGTCTGATCAGGATCCATGCTGTTCGCTTACCAACTCTATTACAAGTGGAGAAACTGATAGCGAACGGCATGGATCCTGATCAGACTGCGCGGATGTGCAGGCTGGTCTGGATCCATGCTGGTCGCAAACCCATTATGTTGGTTTTGTCATGACATGGCTCAATTATAATCTTGGATATAATAAAATGGGTCAAGCAAATGGAGATAAGTGCTGTTTTATATTTAAGTCCATTAAGGGGCATGCTCTACCATTTTGTCAGGACCTTAAATTTTTGTGGCTTCACAGACATGCTTTTTTGATATTTACTTCTATTTATATCTTTCAAACTAACCAGAACAGTTTTTAAGTTCTTGACACTGACAATGTCATTAGTAAATGTTATAAAAAGATGTCACAGAATGAGGTAAAATGTGCAGTGTGACTGAGACTCTAACCCGGGACCCTCACAATAACGTATCAGCTGAGCCACCCGGCAACTTACACATTTTCTCTCCAGTTTGTGGACAGTTTTATTTACTGTGGCAAAGAAAGAGCTCTTAAAAATATTTTTTTATAAAAAATCCCCATATAAATGAGAAAATAGACCGTAAATAATTAAATTATTAAATATAATTCATACAAAAAAAAACAACTTAAAAAAAAACAATCATACATGACCTTGAAATAATAGAATATTAATGCATACCTGCGTTTAATCCTCTAACCATATATATCTTCTGTTAACTAAATTCTGTTCTGAAAGTAAGATAAATTTTAAAGTGTATAAATCTGATATACAAGTCATTATGGAGTTCAAAGTTCATTCTATACATGAATGGCTTAAAGGTGTGTAAAATCTATAAGCACCATTTACTGCATGTAGTATTGTATATCAGTATTGTATACATGTCAATTATTACTCTACAATAGGATTTGATTAGTAAGCATTTTAAAACAGTTAAGATATTGTCATAAATGTCAGAAAGAAAAATTGGTGAAAATATATATTTAGAAAATGAGTATGCATTGTTTTTGTGCAGGGTGTAGCATTTATCTGAAATCAATGTTCAATAAGTTAATCATTTGTACTGATTATTGACTTTTTCCCTTGGTAATTTGATCTTCCTCTATTAATACCAGACAAGGTGTTTTAAATAGATTTAAATAATTACATTGCAATGAGCAGTAATATAATATAATAAATGTCTGAAAGTAAATAAATTATAATATATAATTTTCTAGTTTAGCAACTTTTAATAAAGTCATGTTTAACAATGATAATAATTAAAATAAAAATTTTATTAATAGAAATGATAATTATAATATCAAGCCTTAAAATTGAATTATACTCTTCCCACAAAATGTGGAGAGGGCTATACTGGAAAGACTTTGTTATATAACAGTCGGTCAGTCCATCTGTCCGTCTGTCTCCATTGAGTTTGCACTATCAATACTATACCTCTGAAGGATTTTTTTTGAGTTTGGCTCAAATGTTCACGTAATGAGTGGAATCCATGTTCCAGCTGTGCTGGCTCAAGGTCATCCTGAAGGGTCAAATATCTGATTATTTTAGTGCCCGAATTTTAAATCCTGTACTTTTGAAGCACTATCTGAATGTCCAATTCAATAAGGCAGTGTGTGGAACCGAGATCAGGTCAACATGTTAGTCTAGTACTGGTGTAACTCTCCAGGAACGATGGTTAGGAAACTACCCGCCTATATGACTGAAATACTGTTGGGAAAAAGCGTAAAATGAAACAAACAAACAAACAAAACAAACAGGTCAACATGTAAGGTTAAAATTTAGATGTTTTGTGTCTGTTCTATAAATTGCACTATGTAATGTTTGTAATTGTAATACATTATGTCTTATGTCATAGAGATCGATCAGAGGGGGTATTTAAACTCCTGTGCAGCTCTAAATGGACATTACTGTCATTCTTATTATAATGCCATTATTATTGTAATTTTCTTCTTCTTTCTCTTCTTCTAATCTTCTTTTTCTCCTTCTTCTTTTCTTCTCTGTCTTCTCCTTAAATGATTGTATTTATGCTATCACTGTTCATTGCTATCACAAATCTTTATATAAATTTTATTCCATTGCTATACTTATCTTTATTTTTACATTTTTTTTAATTTTCCCCCACAGAACAGGAACTGAAACAGTATAAAGAAAATGTAGCTAATGAAAAGTTGAAGGCAGAATTAGAGGTAGAAAAGAAGAGAAATAAAACACTTCAAGATAAACTCAAGAGAATGTGAGCTTCCTTTTTAAGCTGTTTTGTATCTTACTTTGTTAGTTGTTTTTAGCTAGAACATAACTTCACAATTAATTTATTTACAATTCATAGTTTGAAGAAATGTTCAAAGTATGCATATCTTTGACTCTTTGTTCTGTACTAGTTCCCAACACTTACAGATTGTAAACATTGAGAGTGTAAGTTGTAAACGTGTTAGCAGGAATAGTGTTAGAATTAACAGCATTATAATCAAGAGTGTTAGCAGTAAACTTGTTAGTAGCAAGTTCATTAGCAGCAAGTGTGTTAGTAATAAGAGTAACTGTAGCAAGAGTATTAAGAATTAAAGAAAAAAAGAATAATAGATTCAAGTAATAGTTTACATGCTGTATACGATTAATGACTGATTATGCAATATTGAGTATCATATTTCTTCTGTGTGACTAATGCAATAAGGGCAATTTTTTCATCTGACCTCTTTTGGGAAATTAATATGGACTGTAAGTGCCATTTGCAATGTGTGAATTATACTCAACTTCACTAATTCTGCGTCATCACTTATTTCACGGTAATGGCATATTTTTATGTGACCAGTGTTAAAATTGGTCAGAATTGACATATTTTATTCATACATGTATAAACAGAGTTTTTGTGCAAAATATTTTAAATCTCTAGATTTTTACATTTTACAAATTTCTGCTAAAAACAATAATAGTCCATTAAATTTGTGCGTATGTCTGATTCAATCATCATTTTCCAAATGTTCTTGTTTGTTGAAAAAATAAATTTTGAGTTACAAAGTAAGGATAATTCTAATATTTAAAATCAAGCAATATAACATGTAGAAATTTTATCTGAAACATGAAAAAACTAAAATGTAACATGATTACCGCAATTTAAATGATGACATACTGTTTTCAAAATGGCCGACATATGGTCTACGTTTGGTCCATTAAAATTGACTTTGACTGAATATATTGTTGTTTCCTTGTGCCATACAGCAGAAAATACCTTTATGTTATACGTTATGACAATTTTTGTACCATAAGTTTCATTTGTTGTTAATTTTCTGGTTTCAAAGCATTAAGTACCGTGAACTAAGAGGAGCACAGTATTTATACATTCTTTGTTCACTTTTCAGTTGTTTTCTTTTAAATACAATTTCAAAATTTTCTTGAAAATAAGCAAGATTAATTGGTATGCAAAAAAAACAACAACAAAACATAAATTGTTCCAATATCTATTTTGTCATGGCATAATATTTCTCCAAAGTCCCAAATTTGTTGAGAGATTTTTTACTTGTTTTGTTAAAATAAAATGTTACAGAGAGAGATCAACATACAAAGGATTTTTATTTGTAAATTTTCTATTTTAGATCTCCAGCAGGGACAAGAGTGACAAAACCGAATGCTTCATCAGTAGGAGAGTCTGGTAATGATGATTTTTTCTTTTTTCTATTAAAAAAATTGGAGTATTTCATTGTGGATATAAATTGCGTGTGTTAATTAAATTCCCACAGACAATTACTTAACTTTTTAATTAAAGTAGCTTCTTTGAGCCTAGCAAGTGAAGGAACTAGAACATATATTATTATGGGAGTGTTGGCCTAGTGATTAAGGTATTTAACTCCAACTCAGGAATCTAGGTTTTATGCCATACTTGGGTTACGGCCATGTTTTTCATGTGACATCATTACTGGTGAGTTCCAAGACGCAGAATCAAAAGTGGTTGATTTTCCTTTTTGCATATTTCTTATTATAACAAATTTTTTGTTATCAAAATTCTAATTTGAAAAATCTAAAAAAAAAGAAAGAAAAAAGGGCTTGCTTGTAGTATGCATTTCCTATTCATTTTGTGATCCTTTTCATTCCTGCTCTATACTGATTTCTTCTAAACAAGGTAAAAAAACTTTCTTTAATCTTGTAAATTGAACTAAAGCAACAATTGTTTGGTATCTAGGTGAAGGAAGTCGGGTTGTACAGCCTGTTTTAGAGAATCAAGTTTCCCAGCCACGTTCCAGGTTTGATAAACTGTTTGAACGTACATGCGAGGTTGTTTATGATGTCCTTGAAGATTTTAATGACATGACCCGTCCAGATGACAATAAAGGACAACCAGATGAACCACTCAGTGTGAAAACGTAAGTTCTTACTGTTTCTATAGTTACTGTGTTATGATTTTTATACAATTACTGATGTTTTAAACATGGTTGAAAAGTTTTAAGCTTCATTTATTTTGAATCATTTATAACTTGTTCATTTCTCAGTCACTTATTAGCTCGACTATTCGAAGAATATGAGAGCTATTGTAGTCGCCCCGGCGTCGGCGTCCGCGTCTGCGTTGGTTAAAGTTTTTTGTAAAGTCAAATATCTCAATTATTGCTTGAGATATTCAATTGAAACTTACAATACTTATTTATAGTAACAAAGTACATCAGATTGACAAGTTGGATAACTCTACCTACAATATTGACAGAATTATGCCTCTTTTTAACTTAGAAATTTTGGTTAAAGTTTTTTGTAAAGTCAAATATCTCAATTATTGTTTGAGATATTCAATTGAAACTTACAATACTTTTTTTATAGTAACAATGTTCATCAGATTGACAAGTTGGATAACTCTGCCTACAATATTGACAGAATTATGCCCCTTTTTAACTTAGAAATTTTGGTTAAAGTTTTTTTGTAAAGTCAAATATCTCAATTATTGCTTGAGATATTCAATAGAAACTTACAATACTTATTTATAGTAACAAGGTTCATCAGATTGACAAGTTGGATAACACTGCCTACAATATTGACAGAATTATGCCCCTTTGAAACTTAGAAATTTTGGTTTAAAGTTTTTTTGTAAAGTCAAATATCTCAATTATTGCTTGAGATATTCAATTGAAATTTACAATACTTTTTTATAGTAACAATGTTCATCATTTTGCAAAATTGCATAACACTGTCTGCAATATTTTCAGAATTATTTGCCCCTTTGAAACTTAGAAATTTTGGTTAAAGGTTAAAGGTCTTCAAAAGATATTTACTTGATACTTTACACATGTACTTAGGGTCATAATTTGAGGGTCATAATTGTATGTCACTGAGCAAGTTCCATAACTCTATCTTGCATTAAGGCTGATTCATATCCCTTTTCTACTTAGTCTCTTGGTTAATGTTTATATGCAAGTTTTACATATCTCAATAACTATTAAAGATATTTATTTAAAACTTCACATATGCAATTAATGTCAGAATTGTAGGTCACTGACAAAGATCCATTAATTCTATCTTGCATTTAGGCTGATTTTTCTTCCCTTTTTCAACATTAGAAATTCATGGTAAAGTTTTTGCTTGTAAGCTGTTATCTCCAATAACTACTGAAGGGTTTGTGCCTTTTTGGGACAATTTTATGCATTCATTAATAATTAAAGCAGTGATTTACTTGATAAAACATCTTAATACCTTTTCTGTCAATTTTATGTATTCATAGGTAATTAGTATTATTATACTCAATAAAACACCCTTGTGACATTACCTTCCAAATAGTCAAGCCAATACTGTATAATTAGACTCTCTCTAAGGCCTATAACATGAATTTATAAAAAAATTTAGCCCTTTTGTGAACTTAGAAAATTTAACATTATCAAGGCTCTTTAACTATCAAGCACTTAGAATAGTCGAGCGTGCTGTCCTACCGAATTTTATTCATTAGTTCTATTTCTTGTTCTGTATATTTTTCAGGTTAAAGGAAAATATCAGAAGGTTCAGTAAGTAATGATTTCTTTTTGGACTTATTTTTTTTATAAGGATACTTGTATTTTTGGAAGAATGATAAAAGCAAAATAATGTGTTTACTATATGTAAATATTCATTTATATTGAGAAAATAAACCCCCAAAAACACAACTGCATCTCATATCTTATAAATATGTCCACCTAGAACTAAGTCATGTACAATTATTCAAGACTGTATAAATAAATGAATTATTAAAATTTATTCGAATTTTTATATGTTTGATTATGAGGCCTACCATTGATGGAATATTCAGATCAGAAATGTTAATACATGTACATAATGAAATTTGGTCAGAGTTATGGCCCCATGTAGAGCAATGCAGATATTTCAGAATTTGTTTCCATATACCAATAGTTTGTGGTAAACCAGTGTAAACTTGTTTTGTATTTCAGAGACTGCTGTGAAACCTATAACAGACACCTGGAAAGGTTTATTCAATCTTTTCAACTGGAGAAACCGGTCTTATACTTTATTTGTCTTCCTTGTAAGTCATGTTTCATATTAACATTTATCAGCTTAGCACCTATCTTAGTCTACTTGGGGAAAAATCTCCTGTAACAATAAAACATTGTAGCAAAAACATCTCACAAAAATACTGCGCTAGTTTGCTCTTAAAGCTCAATGAATTAGGAAATTTAGTGCATTCATCTGAATCCAGATCATTAACCTTCAAGGATTCATCTTCATCTGAAAATTGACATTTGATTTGAATTTGTGAAATTCTCATTTTTTATTTCAGATACATATGTATTGTGTTTGGAGAGGGTGGTTTTTGCCACTTCTTTTCTTTCTTGGTGCAGTTAGAATGGTTGTTAATTTTCTACATTTTAAGTAAGTTATCTTAAAAATCTTAACATTAACATTTCAGTCACAATGGTAATAATATTGCTAAGAATTCCTGCCAGGTTCCACTCAGAAATTCAGTGCCACACTAATGGTAAAATAGATGACATGTTACCTAGCAGTTTTTTTGACAATTATTTGTTTCAAACCATTGATTTACCACCTGATGGGGTATTTTTACATAGTGTACAAAAATGCATGGCTTAACCGGAGACACTGTTTCATTTACAAGTGTTTGTTTGTCAAAGGTCAAGGTTGAACAGTGATGGAGTACAATCAGCATATAGGGCAACCATATTTGGATAAATTTTTTTAAAAAGTATCTTAAGATTATTAACATTTTTGTAAGTTAACACTGATTTCCATCATCATAAAGTTGAGGTATATTTAGTGTGAACTGTATAGTTTAACATATTAATTAACTTGTTATGTTGACATACAGAAGTAAAATTCTCTACAGATTTATTTGAAAACTCTCTTGAAAGTTATTTGTTTAAAAGAAATGTGCTAACTAGATACATGGATTAGAAATATTGCTGATAACACTTTTAAAGAATCATTCATAATGGCCTTTGTATTATCATATATGATAATACAAAGGCCGTATGTGAAACATTCTACATTAATGTTGTGTCATTCTGTTTATATGTGTAATTATTTTTAGAAAATTTTGTGATCTATATTTTTAGAGGATACACATTCCATTTTGCATACTTGGATTCAGGTGAACTTGAGAAGGTAAATCAAACTTTTTAGCTTTTACAAACAAGAGAAAAATTTGATTAACATTTTACCAAAATATAATTTATCTGAATTTCTAAAAGTTAAATTGGATTAGACTTCAGGTTAAGTTTATATAAATATAAAAACAACTTTTGAAATATTTTTGTATGTCATTTACATCGAAGTTAATTATAAATATCTGCAAAAAATGTAAACATTGATGTTTGAATTATTTGAACAAACTTTCAGTGTAAAAGTGCTTAGAGTAATGTGTAATGGCCATATGTGGGTAGTTTACAGCACAAACTTGAATTGCGAAGGTTGATAGAATAATTGAATTTTAGTAAAAATAAACATTTTTTTTTGTTAATTTTCAGGAAACAGATGATTCTTTGGGTCTGTCAGATAAATTTAATCTTGTGTTGTTAGTAGCTACCAAAGTTCAGGTAAATATTTTTGTGAAAAAAAAATATAGGAGCTGAACATAAAATTCTAAGTTTGGTCAAAATGTATTTTTTTATGCTTTAAAAATAACATGTATATATTGTCACCCTCAAGCAGTAATGGGTTGACTCCAATTGAATTAAATAAGGAGTTACTGTTACTGTGCTAAGGTGACCATAATTATGTCTATTTTTAGCTCACCTGTCACAAAGTGACAGGGTGAGCTTTTGTGATCGCTTTTCGTCCGGCGACCGTCCGTCGTCCGTCCGTCCGTCGTCCGTCCGTAAACTTTTGCTTTAAATGACATCTCCTCATAAACCACTGAGCCAATTTCATCCAAACTTCACAGGAATGTTCCTTTGGTGGTCACCTTTAAAAATTGTTCAAAGAATTTGATTCCATGCAGAACTCTGGTTGCCATGGCAACCGAAAGAAAAATCTTTAAATATCTTCTTTTAAACAACCCTAAGAGCTAGAGCTTAGATTTTTGGCATGAAACATCTTCTAGTGAGTGTCTACCAAGTTTGTTCAAATAAAAGCCCTGGGGTCAAAATTGGCCCTGCCCCAGGGGGTCATAGATTTTCCCTATATGCATATAGTAAAAACTTAAAAAATCTTCTTTTAAAGAACCCAAAGAGCTAGAGCTAAGATATTTGGCATGAAACATCTTCTAGTGAGTGTCTACCAAGTTTGTTCAAATAAAAGCCTTGGGGTCAAAATTGGCCCCGCCCCGGGGGCTCATTGATTTTCCCTATATGCATATAGTAAAAACTTAAAAATTCTTCTTTTAAAGAACTGTAAGAGCTAGAGCTTAGATATTTGGCATGAAACATCTTCTAGTGAATGTCTACCAAGTTTGTTCAAATAAAAGCCCTGGGGTCAAAATTGGCCCCGCCCCAGGGGGTCATTGATTTTCCCTATATGCATATAGTAAAAACTTAAAAATTCTTCTTTTAAAGAACCCAAAGAGCTAGAGTTAGGATATTTAGCATGAAACATGTTCTAATGGGTGTCTACCAAGTATGTTCAAATAAAAGCCCTGGGGTCAAAACTGGCCCCAACCCCGGGGGTCATTGATTTTCCTTATATGTGTATAGCAAAAACTTAAAAATCTTCTTTGAAAAAACCCAAATAGCTAGAGTTTAGATATTAAGCATGAAACATCTTTAAGTAAATATCTACAAAGTTTGTTCAAATAAAGGCCCGGGGGTCAAAACTGGCCCTGCCCCAGGGGTGTCATTGTTTTTAACTATATGTGTATAGTAAAAACTAAAAAATCTTCTTTTAAAAAACCCAATGAGCTAGAACTTAGATGTTTAGCATGAAACATCTTCTTATGGGTGTTTACCAAGTCTGTTCAAATAAACAAATAAAAGCCCTTGGGTAAAAATTGGCCCGGGGGGGGGGGGGGGGGGGGCTATATACAGGTGAGCGACCTCAGGGCCATCATGGCCCTCTTGTTTTTAATCTCATAGAAGTATTAGTACAGCTTGAAAATAAAACTGTGCCGGATAATTTTTGCCATTTAGGATATTTCCTATGTCTCAGCAAAAAGGCAAAAGGTCAAGATGGGAAAACAAAATAAAAACTTGTTTTCAGCCTTTTATACAATTTCAAAAAAAATAGATAAAATATTACACCTGAAATTCTTCCATACTGGCCATAAAGTTGTTATGTCAAGTTTAACTAGTTGTTTCCTAGTAATGATTTGCCTGAAATATATTTAAGGCATTTCAAATTATGAGTTAAAATGTTTTTATTTTGAACCTTTAAGAAATTATGATTTGATACCATTATTTATCTGGATGAGATGTATTTGGATTTAGACTCAGGTATGAGAGAACTGTGCTATGAAACAACTAACATTTGTATGTTTTTATATCTACAGAATGGTTTAGGTTCTGTGGCTGACAATCTTGAGAAAGTGAAGAAGTAAGTTTTACATTTCTGCCAGTGTTTATTTACCATTTAACCAAGGTTTTATTAGCTCCAGTTGTCACACAGTATTATTTATATGTTTACTGTCATTTAATTTGAAAGTCACTTTTTGTGTGGATTTTCAAGTGTGTTAGATCGTAAAATGAATATATTTTTTTTAGTTTAAATGAATGATTTATCTTATTCCTGTAGCATAATGAAAACTTATGCCTGTTACTGATTAAACTAATGTTAAAAATGAGTGCACACCTACCTTGAATGCCATAAAGCCTCTTCACAACTGGTTCTTTGGCTCAGTGGTCTTATGTTTATATTTATTGTGAGTTAGTGGTTGTAAGTTTGAATCTCTATGGAATTGGGTTACGCATACAAAATTGTCAGGTCTTATTTAGCCTGCAGAATGTTGATGTTTCAACTTGGGTGCCCCTTTGTGCCTGGAACCCCCCCCCCCCCCCCCCCCCCAAGAAAAAAGAGGGGCACCTTAGGTCTGTCACCACCAGTAAAGCTGTAAAGTCGCCATATGACCATTACTTTGTTGGTTTGACATAAAACGTAATAAAAAAACAAAACAAAAAACCCAAACAACAACCTGGAGGCTAAAATAATATGGTATATCCACAGATTTCACAGAAATTCATGACTTAAAGATAAGATATAATATACATGTATATTGTTTATTTACTTTATTTATTGTTTATTTACTTTATATATTTTTTATTTACTTTGTTTATTGTTTATTTACTATATTTATATAGTATGTTAACATGGAGACATAGGGAAGGATCAAAGCGAGTCCTCCTAGTTTTATGTATGGGTTTTGTGATGACAGCTATAATGCCTACCTCAATATTCTGGAAATTTATAGGTAATACCATCTTCTTGTTTGATTTAGGAACAAACTTCACTAGTTCACACTTCATTTAAATTTCTCAAGACTGTTGAATAGAAAATTTTAAATAACTAAGAAGTCTTAAATAGAATCAATGTAAGAGCCATATGATTATTATGGATATGTAAACAGCTCTGTTAACCTTTTACCCCATGAGCATATTGCGAAAAATGGCCGTTTTCATTGAAAAGCCTCCTGTAACAAGTTCAAACTGCTATGAACTATGAATCATGCTTCAATACTGATGAAACTTGTCACAAATGTTAACTGGACCATAAGCTCTGTAACAGCATGCTCAATCGTACAATTCCTGTTACCATGGCAACGGGGGAACGTCTCAAAATTGCGAAAAATCACTATTTTGCATTGTTTTTATTTTCCATCAAAACTGATTTCAAAGTGCCGCAACTTCTCAATGAATTGAGATAGAGTAGAAGGCTACAAGTTACCCTAAGATCGACCTGAGGCCACTTTCAGCCTGTCACATATCCAAAATTTTCTTGGCGATGAGGGGGACTCTGCCCCCCTTCAAAACCCCCAAACAGAAGGGGGATGTGGCAACCCCCTGATGTAACATTTGGATTGGGGACGGCGCCGAAAAAGTGGTCAAGCCGAAAAAGTGGTCACTTTTTTTAACAACATTTCTCAAACGAAAACCAGTGTTTGAGGCCTAAATATGGCATTTTTTCACTGTTTGAGGCCTCAAGAAGGGGGGGGGGGGCAAAAAGCCGTCGAAACACGCTTTTATGAGGGAAAAGGTTAATGCTCGGAAATCAGCTCGTTTGCAGAAATTAAGCGGTCTTGATTACAGTGAACTCCTTAAGATTAAACCTAACAATGCTCATATATATCAATGTAAAACATATATCACTAGGTTGATTTGTTAACACTAAAAAAATAACTCTTTGGGAAAAATTGCAAATTAAGTTTTATGTTTAATTTTTTATGTTTTAATCAGTTAACCAAATAAATAAGTTGCCTAATTGAACTCTTGTCACTAATAACCACAGTCTTGCTTAAAATAATGACCATACATTATTGTACAGATTACATGGATGTAGAGCCCACCATCCCATTTTCAAACATTATTATTGAAAATATCAGGCATGTTATATGATTGTGGTCATTATTGACTAGTGTAGATTGTATTTAAAGTTGAATTTACCAAAATTAGGATAAGAAGTTGCTATAGTACCATGCTATAACCTTTGAATAATGTTTAAAATCAACATTTCTATTAGTAAAACATATACTTTTGAAATAAATCCGGTCCAAGTCATCAGCAGTCAATGCATACATACTTTACAACACTGTTGGCAGCTAAATTTTAGTATTTTGAGAGTCACAAGTTCAAAACTTCAAAGTCAGAACCAATCCTCATCATACAACATGAAATAATGATTAATCAGTATAGGCAGTGGACAATATTTTATGTTCTTGAACATTCCAGTGAATATGTCTAAATTCAAAGCAGCAACCAATCTCTCATCATACAAAACAAAAGCAGGAAATGATTCATCAATTAAGATAGTGTATAATACACTAGTCTAAATCATAACAATATATATAAATTCCAGGTCTAGGATTTGGTGTGAAGATATTTATAGTGAACTACATCTACAATCGTTACCCGAGGATCAAGAAAAGATATGATTCAAACTATAAACTCTGGATTACAGTGCCCACTGATGCTCAATATGAGAAAAACTTTGTTAAAGCTGAGATGGATAAGGTATTAATATAAAGTTTTTTTCTTGTTTAACTGGTTCATATGTTATTCAAAATTAATGAAACATACAAATGTTTTAAACAGCAATTATATCTTGATAAACCATTGCCTTGTTTGCTGACCATTAAAAAACCCATTAAATTGGAGCTATCTTACCCTGATGTTAGTGTTGGCCTGACACTTGCTAAAAGTTTTGCACGCAACAGTAAAAATAGAAGAATTTTGTGAGTGTGTATTTGCTTATAAAGATAAATGTGATAGTGAGGTTTCCTTTTAATAATATTGGTTTATATTATAATTTTAGTTCTAGAAACTTCACATATTCCAAAGTCAAGTCATTTTAACTACCAAACTGTTTCTGTATGTTTTACTACATGCAAGTTTAATGAATAATGTATGTTTTAGCTGAATCATGATGATTAAAAAAGTTTAATTATACATTCCAATACAGGAATATATATGTTTAAAGCAAACTCATCTACTTCATTTACAGTATATAGTAATCCCGAGATCGGACAGTGAGTTAGAGAGATCTATGGAACACTTATCTGATTTAGATTCTAGTGAAGATGAGGACAGTGCTGAGTTCAGACAGGTGTTTTCCTTGCCAATTACAGAATGTCCACAGCGAGGTAAATACTTTTATTCTGGGATATTGTTAGTTTGAAATGACAGTTGAAGTCTTCATTTAAAAATCAGGGAAAAGGGTGATCCATGAGGCACTAATCACAACAAAATTACATGAAATTTGCAGAGGGATAATGAAAAAGTGCAACATCCTTCACGCCCTCTAGCACCCACCTGATCAGTACAAGACAGTATTTCAGAGATAAACAGATGATCACCTCTATGCTCTGTCCCTTGCTGCATTTGGTGCTAATGTCAATGGCAGTGATAGACAATTGTAATGTAAAAACATGGCCCATATAGAAAGTTGTATAGATATGACATTTTTCGAAAAAGAATTCAAATATGTTTGTCATCTACTGGTTGGGGACCACCAAAACTGGACAACCACCAAACCCAGACGGCCCCAAAAATGTCTGATTTAGTTGTTTTCTTTGATCTACTAGTATCAGTCACTTTTTATCAACAATAAATGCATGTTTCTTCTATTATTAAGTAATTAAATTTATTTCAACTTTCAATAAACTGTAATATTTTAATGTCTATTTCAAAAATGTTGACGTTGGAAATTTAGACGTCAAGAGTGCAATGCCTGACCTCCTATACTAGCTATAATCATTTGCAGAATAAAGAATAATAATATCTGTCATATTTTGCGGTTCGGATCGGAATATCCGTCCCGAGGTGACCCGCCCATTGGGCGGTAACGAGGCTTGCCGAGTTACCGCCCATGGGCGGGTGACCGAGGGACGGATATTCCGATCCGAACCGCAAACATATGTCAGATATTTTTTCTTGCATATTCTACCATATTCCATTATATTTTAAATTCTTTATCTTTATTTTCAATGAAAATTTATATCATTACAACCGTAACTACTTTTTTTCAACAGCGTATGAAATACAAAATCATTCATAACGGTAAAATGACGTCTTTATCGTGCCATTGTACAGCACGCGACTCATCTGGAACCCCCCATGCCAGATGAAATTTCCGGCATGGGTAAAACTAACGGAAACACCAGTCTGATATGCAAGAATAGAATATCCAAAACTTCAGCATTTGCTGCGGATATATTGTATGTCATGTTAATTTAAAATAAAAACACCCAAGCTTTTATCTTTATTAAATCAATGTCATTACATATCTGTCCAGACACATGGTACTGAACCATGTACAATTTAGGTAATTTAGATACCCTCCTTGACAGGCCTTAGACATAAGTGTCAATATAATCAGAATTTAACAAACTAGTTTATTTATAAGGAGAAGAACCTAGCTATACTGTGTTAAATTTTCAGATCTGTAGCTTTGAAAATATGAAATCTGTATGGAAAAATGTCCAAAAAGTGTCCGGTTGATGTTGCCTGACCAGTAATCAAATTACTCAGAGAATTGACATTCTGATATTATGTATTGACAATGTGAGGGTAGGGAGGAATACTGCTTTAGCTATGTCTGTTTGCAGATTTCTGTTCCTGGCCACATCTTTATTATTAACGCTAGAGCTTCATATTAGGACACAACCTGATACTATATCCTTTACAGCTTTATTTCCACATCTTGAAATATGATTTCTACTCCCTAGATAACCTTGACCTTCAAGGTCAAAGTTGATCACATTTTAGAAATTCAGGAATTTGCAACATAACTGTTTAGTTTATGAAAACATTTTGGACTGGGGCATGTTTATGCTAATGTTGAAGCTATGAAAAGGGCATGACATAAATTATCTTTGGACATTATTGTTTGTTTCTCCCCATTTCAGGTATATGTCATTGTTTGTGTAGTTCTGATTTAAAAATAAATAAATAGGGAATTAATTTTTCTTTAAAAAAAAAATGGTATCAGCATTAATTCTAAATTGAACTCTTTTAAATTGACTTTTCAGGATGGTTAAGTGGAAAGAGAACTGTGCTGATAGGAAAAGACAGATCAGTAATTACCTTACTGTCCAAGAAAAGGGGAAAACTTTTCCTTACTAATAGGTAAAGAAAAAAACAACAGATAACATTTCTTAGCTTTAAACAACATTTAGAAATGGGTAGTCTCCCTTGGATAAGTATAGACCACAGCCTCACATCCTGCATGTAAAATTGTCAATCTTATTTTAGTGTCATACTTTGGAAGATTAATATTTTGGAAGCAATTATTGTTTTCCCTAGCATGATTAAAATGACTGCATTGAAGTGCAAGTAATTAAATCAACATTTAAACTTTATAACAAACAAGTTTTTTTATTATCATTGGTGGCGTTTAATATGGATATCCTGACAGGGACTTTGGAATCTTTCATGTAAAGTAGCTATACAACTAGCTTACCGAATGTCAGTGGTTCTTCCAGGTGCCTGTTTGTGCCTGAAATAAGAAATGGAGAGGCATCTGAGGTCTTCCTGCACCAGTAAAACCAAAAAGTCACTATTTGTCCCACATGTATTCTGTGTTGAGGTGATGCAGAACCCAAGAAAAATAATCATGTGGATATTTTTATATATGATCTTTCTTGTTACAGTTTCCTGTGTTTTGAAAGGGAGAAAACTCCATCTGCCAGGAATATTGTTATACCTCTTCAAGATATAGTCAGAGTTGACAAGGTTAGTTGTAACTTTTGTATTAGATTATGGTCGCTTGTTGACAACTATAACACAGAAATCAGATTGATATTCGCTCTAAGCAGCAGATACATGGCCCAGTGGTAACACGCTGTTCTAGTTATTGTGGGGCTGCAGGTTTGACTTCTGCTTGACCACAGAAAATACTTATTTTAGATAAAACATAAAAACCTAAGTTCCTATCAGGCTATGTATCACTGCTCTATGCAGGACATGTAAATTAATCAAGGTTGCCTCTGAAATAGGGCAAGTGACGTATCTATGCCCTTGCTTGGAGGCATCTAAAGTATGACAGTAAATAATTAGAAAATGAATTCACTCAAATTTGTTGATTGTTTACAAAGTTTTAATTTGATTAACCAAGAAATCTATGTGAAGTACAGTTCTAAATTGATAAGTGGTGAAAACCAACTGCTAGCATTAGACTTGTTATAATTGAGTCACATAGTTTATTGTTATGCTAGGTGCCACTATGTGATATTTCCATCCAATGTTTTATTTTATTGAAATCATTCAACATTAATTTGTTGATCATGTTATCTTTTCTATCTATGCATTTGACATATCTTATTTGCAGCTAAGATTTTACATATTTTAATAAGACATAATTTTTAACAGACTTATACCATTAGTCGTGAACCAGACCAGCTTGCTCATCAGTGCATTCTAACCTATATTATAGTAGTTTGAATCTTAAATCCCCTAAACTATTAAAGGACTATCCCAAACTCAAAGGCAGGAAAGTTTATTACACAGTATCATTAGGATATGGGTTAGAATAAGTAAAATTTAATCTTTTGCACTCAATGGCAGATTAAATAGTGTTTATTCTAATTTATATATTCTATTTCAGGTGAAAATAAATCAAAGGATGCCAGGTAAAGGAATGGCCATTCAAATACTCATAAATAGTGAAGGAAAAGAAAACGTATGTTAAATTTATTGAAAGTATTATTGTATTCAGGGCCTGTGAAGATCTTTTTCTCAAACAGTTTTTTAGCTTGACTATTCAAAGAATAGGGAGAGCTATTGTACTTGCCCTGGTGTTGGCATCACATTTTTGTTAAGTTTGTTGCATGCAAGTTGGTATCTCCAAAAACTGTTGAAGGGAATTTGTCTAAACTTCACACACTTACTTGAGAGTACACCAGGGGGTCGTTATCCAAGGCCCATAACTCTTAACTTGATTTTTGACAGAATTATGACCATTTTTGAGCTAAGAAATTTCTTCATTATCAGAGGCTCTTGTTTTACTATCAAACACTGAGAACAATCAAGCACGCTGTAATACTGAAAGCTTTTGTTATTTTTTTTACAGCTCTGGCAAACATATTTTTACCCTGTATTGATGATTTTTAACTCACTCTGATAATCTTATTATCTATAACATCAAAATACATGTAGCTATATAAGTATATATTTTTTTAAAGGAACATTAAAGTACAAGACTATTTTCTAAAGTAAAATATTAAAATGTGGTATGTTTGTGTATATACAAGTAAATCAATCGTTGACAGTGGTGTTAATTTAGATCTGTGAAACATAAAAAACCTCAACAATGACATTTTTGCTTGTGTTCAAACATCCACAAAAACTTTTTGATATAGCCAAGATTTCTTGTGAAATAGTTTCAAAAGAGAATGAAAAAATGGATAAACTGGTTGCACTTCCATATACATGAAGTCTTGGTATTGACCTTCCATTCTTCCTTCAGATTTACTGTTTCTCATAAAACCAACCTTTTATTGTACTGATATCTTATATATTTCATTGTTGACTTTAAATCATTTCTGATGGAAACCTTTGATTATTTCAAGCTGAGACACTATCCAGGTAGCTTTTGGTAGGTATGCTGTTCTACTCATAATTTGTTTCTTGCCTGAAATCATGCATGTAGGGTCATTTGATGTGACTTGAGACCCAACTAAAACAAATAAAATAAAAGTAAAAAGATAATAAGCTTCTAACATTTGTTAGAATTTCAGGCTGATTAGACCACAGTTAAGGTCACTGAGGGGTCAAACAGATTTTCTTACTTTTCTTCGTACATGTAGTTCAGCCATAAAATTTGTTGTGTTAAAGTCACATTGTGGAACGTCTATTAGTGTATATTCTCAGAGTATAAAAGTCTATGTTTATGATGCCTTTTTAACCCTTAACCTGCTGAATTTCTTAACTGGACTTGTCCAGCTTCCATTTTTGGGACAGTCCATTATCAATTTTGAAGATACCAAAATGAAAACTTTAATTGGTCAATTAACAGTATAGATCCTGGTCAGACTGCATGGATGTGCAGGTGGCCTGGCTCTATATAGGGGTAGCAAAGGTTAATCACTTTAGGTTCCAGCAGGTAACAGGTTAATGGGGTTTACTATAAATTTCTTTATTATGGATATATATCATCCTTCATAATGTACATGGTACAATTTTTTTTATGAAAGAAAGTTGGCAGATAGTCAAACTTTGATTGGTTTCTATTTCTCTGATGTTTTGTGTAATATATTACATCAAATAAAAACTGGTAGATAACATCTAAAATACTAAATGAATTATGTATTCTGATTTAATATGTTTAGATTTTTTTTAATGTCAAATTGAAGGGTGAAAAAGAGTAGGTTTTTGTAGGTTTCTGTTATGGTTGAGATGTTGTATTATCTGTAATAGAGACATCTGTAATAGTAGTGAAATAGAGACATCTGTAATAGTAGTGAAATAGAGACATCTGTTATAGAAGTGAAATAGAGACATCTGTAATAGTAGTGAAATAGAGACATCTGTAATAGTAGTGAAATAGAGACATCTGTTATAGTAGTGAAATAGAGACATCTGTAATAGTAGTGAAATAGAGACATCTGTTATAGTAGTGAAATAGAGACATCTGTAATAGTAGTGAAATAGAGACATCTGTTATAGTAGTGAAATAGAGACATCTGTTATAGTAGTGAAATAGAGACATCTGTTATAGTAGTGAAATAGAGACATCTTTAATAGTAGTGAAATAGAGACATATGTTATAGTAGTGAAATAGAGACATCTTTAATAGTAGTGAAATAGAGACATCTGTTATAGTAGTGAAATAGAGACATCTGTTATAGTAGTGAAATAGAGACATCTGTTATAGTAGTGAAATAGAGACATCTTTAATAGTAGTGAAATAGAGACATATGTTATAGTAGTGAAATAGAGACATCTTTAATAGTAGTGAAATAGATACATCTGTAATAGTAGTGAAATAGAGACATCTGTAATAGTAGTGAAATAGAGACATCTGTTATAGTAGTGAAATAGAGACATCTTTAATAGTAGTGAAATAGAGACATCTGTTATAGTAGTGAAATAGATACATCTGTAATAGTAGTGAAATAGATACATCTGTAATAGTAGTGAAATAGAGACATCTGTAATAGTAGTGAAATAGAGACATCTGTTATAGTAGTGAAATAGATACATCTGTAATAGTAGTGAAATAGATACATCTGTAATAGTAGTGAAATAGAGACATCTGTAATAGTAGTGAAATAGAGACATCTTTAATAGTAGTGAAATAGAGACATCTGTAATAGTAGTGAAATAGAGACATCTGTAATAGTAGTGAAATAGAGACATCTGTAATAGTAGTGAAATAGAGACATCTGTAATAGTAGTGAAATAGAGACATCTGTAATAGTAGTGAAATAGATACATCTGTAATAGTAGTGAAATAGATACATCTGTAATAGTAGTGAAATAGAGACATCTGTAATAGTAGTGAAATAGATACATCTCAAATATAGACATTTTAAATAGTGAAATAGACATCTGAAAAAGAGACATCTGAAATAATGATGATTGAAATATATACATCTGAATACAGACATTTAAAAATAGAGACTTCTAAAATAGAGTCATCTGAAATGTAGTCATCTGAAAAAAGAGACATTTGAAATAGTCTTATTATAGAGACATGTTTTTGAAATACAGACATCTGAAATCGAGACATCTGAAATACAGACATCTGAAATATAGACATCTGAAATAGAAACATCTGAAATAGAAACATATGAAATAGAAACATCTGAAATAGAAACATATGAAATAGAAACATCTGAAATAGAAACATATGAAATAGAAACATCTGAAATAGAAACATATGAAATAGAAACATCTGAAATAGAAACATATGAAATAGAAACATCTGAAATATAGACATCATTTACAGTGATAATTATATACCATCAAATTGCACAGCATTAAACGTGGCCTTTGATCTAATGTAGAGAATTAAACGCACAGATCCTCTTTCATAATTACATGCATGGTTGAATTTGAACTTTGACTAATTGATTTCACGAGAGTGTTGGATGTCTGAATGATACGTGGATAAATTGTACATTAAATCGCTCGTGTGTGAATTTAAAGTGGCTGCTAGATTATTTGATAATTTGATTTATGTTGTTATCAAATTTGAATCCAGGCATGAAAATATGTTAAATGTTTAAATCAAATTGAAGTTTTTAGGTTGTTTAATGAATATATTTATGTATAGAAGGGTTTTTTCTATGAAAAAGAGAAAGTTGGGTAAGGTTTGTTATAAGGTATGGGGCGAAAAATTTTCATTCTTTAATTTGTTTTAAACATGTACGTTCAGGAAAATTTTTCCCATTGATAATTATGAGTTATATTTTGATATCAAACTTCTGCTTAAAGTCTATAAAGCTGTTTCTGATGAAATATTATAAAAGAAAATAAGAACAGTGAAAAAAATGTTTTCATAATCTTGTGGTTTTGTCTTGAATGATTTGTAACAAAGAATAAGTTAATATACATGATATTGTACGTAAAAAGAAAAATGTTCTGGAACAAAATATTCAGTAAGTTTTACGCTGATTCCATATGTGCCCAACTTGATTCCAATAAAATATACTGACAAGTTTCTTATTTTAAATATTCTGTAATCATTTTAATCACATTTAAAACCCACAAGCAGCAAATATATAACATTTGCTTGTGAAAATTTATGACTTTTCTCTCTGTTTTTTTCTTCCCTTTTTATAACGAAATTGTGTTTCACCAACACATGTACAGTTGCTTTTATTATTACAGCAAGATTTAATTTTTCAGGTTCTTACATTTGGGGGTGTTATTGGTCGAGATGAAGTTGTCAAAAGTATAAACCAGTCTATAAGAAATGTAAAGCAAGAGAGACAGTCACCCAGACGTTCCAGTGATAACATCAGCAGACGGTCATTAGACAGTGTGTCGTCAAGGATACAGAATTTTACATTCGGAGCATATTATGTTGATTCTGATTCCGATTAAAATCAATCTATTTTATATCTTGAAATATTTTTTATATTTCTGAAATCTAATACTCGGCCATTTTAACTTTTATTATGCCAACAGCATAAAATAAAGTAAGACCCTGTTACACATACACCATGGTACAGTCTAATCAAACTCAGGTACTTCTAGCTGTGTAATTGGTGTGTGATTAAAATTTCTATCAAAACCAAGGAACAGTGTAAAAACAAGAACTATTTTTTTACACAATTTAGTTAGGAGTGGGTGGGGGTGTGTTTGGGAATAAATTTCAATGGACATTTCCAAATTTAAAGCAGGGCAAGTAGTGAAATAAAGTTATTAGAGATTATTTTAAAGACTACAGAGTTATTCCATTTAAGAAGTAACAGAAGGCTCTGTAAAGGTGAAGCCATTTGTTGATGTAAGCTTAAAGGGTAAATGAATAAATACACAGCACCTGGTTTAAAGTCAAATTTGAAAGAAACTGATATATGTAGTAATTTTAGAACGGGTAGAAGGAGGGATGAACCTGCAACCTCTTGTTTTGTAGTCATACAATGAAAACATTGGACCACTGTATGTAATTGTTTATCAGTTTAAAAGGCCATAAGAGATTGCTCACTTACATTGCTTTATGAAACATAACAAAATAGTGCATAATGAAACATTGCCCAATGAAACTGCTTCATAAAACATTGCTTTATGAAACATGGCTCCATGAAACATCACTTTATGAAACATGGCTTTTTATTATATGCCCGAAAGAATTTCGGACATATTATGTTATACCCCCTGGCGTCCGTCTGTCCGTCCGTCCGTCCGTCTGTCCGTCCGTCCGTTAGCAATTTGGTTTCCGGAGCATAACTTAAGTTCCATTTGGCCCACAATATTCAAACTTCATAGGATGATTGTCCATATTGAGTAGAAGACCCCTATTGATTTTGGGGTCATAAGGTCAAAGGTCAAGGTCACTATGACCTTGAAACTGAAAACGTTAGCAATTTGGTTTCCGGAGCATAACTTAAGTTCCATTTGGCCCACAATATTCAAACTTCATAGGATGATTGTCCATATTGGGTAGAAGACCCCTATTGATTTTGGGGTCATAAGGTCAAAGGTCAAGGTCACTATGACCTTAAAACTGAAAACAGTTTCCGGAGCATAACTTAAGTTCCATTTGGCCCACAGTGTTCAAACTTCATAGGATGATTGTCCATATTTGGTAGAAGACCCCTATTGATTTTGGGGTCACAAGGTCAAAGGTCAAGGTCACTATGACCTTAAAACTGAAAACAGTTTCCGGAGCATAACTTAAGTTCCATTTGTCCTACAGTGTTCAAACTTCATAGGATGATTGTCCATATTTGGTAGAAGACCCCTTTAGATTTTGGGGTCACAGGTCAAAGGTCAAGGTCACTATGACCTTAAAACTGGAAACAGTTTCCGGAGCATAACTTAAGTTCCATTTGGCACACAGTGTTCAAACTTCATAGGATGATTGAGGATATTGGGTAGAAGACCCCTATTGATTTTGGGGTCACAAGGTCAAAGGTCAAGGTCACTATTACCTTAGAACTGAAAACAGTTTCCGGAGCATAACTTAAGTTCTATTTGGCCCACAGTGTTCAAACTTCATAGGATGATTGTCCATATTGGGTAGAAGACCCCTATTGATTTTGGGGTCACAAGGTCAAAGGTCAAGGTCACTATTACTTAGAAATTGAAAACAGTTTCTTGAGCATAACTTTAGTTCCATTTAGCCCACAATATTCAAACTTCATAGGATGATTGTCCATATTGGGTAGAAGACCCCTATTGATTTTGGGGTCACAAGGTCAAGGTCACTATTACCTTAAAACTGAAAACAGTTTTCGGAATATAACTTAAGTATCATTTGGCCTACTGTGTTTAAACTTCATAGTATGATTGTCCATATTGGGTAAAAGACCCCTAATGATTTTGGGGTCACAAGGTCAAAGGTCAAGGTCACTTTTACCTTAGAATTGAAAACAGTTTCTGGGACATAACTTAAAGTTCCATTTGGACCACAATATTGAAACTTCAAAGGAGGATTGTTATTTGAAGGAGGTAATACTTTATTTTAGTCCCATGTCTTACAAATGCTTCATCTTTACTAAAAAAAAAACCACTTTCGGGCATATAATGCTCCGCCTAGTGGTGCTCTTGTGAAACTTTGCTTCATGAAACATGGCTTCATAAAACATTGCTTTATGAAACATCACTCCATGAAACATCACTTTATGAAACATGGCTTTTTATGAAACTTTGCTTTATGAAACATGGCTTCATGAAACATTGCTTTATTTAAACATTGCTTCCTGAAATATTCTTTGAAAGCCATTCCCATCCAAGTGCCATCATTTTTTTTTTAAATAACTCCTCATTTTTTTTGTCTGTCATAAAAGATTGGTTTATAATGCCCAATGGTGGCCCATTTTTAGCTCGACTTTTCTATGAAAAGGGGAGCTATCCTACTCGCCCCGGCGTCGGCGTCGGCGTTGGCGTCACACCTTGGTTAAGTTTTTCGTACCACCCCACTTTATTTCAGAAGTATTACAAGTATGGCTTTGAAACTTACCATACTTGTTCACCATCATAACCTCCATCTACAGACAAGAGTACATAACTCTGTCAAGGTTTTTGACAGAATTATGGCCCTTTTTTGACTTAGAAAGTGTATTGAGCTTGGTTAAGTTTTTTGTACCACCTCACTTTATTTCAAAACCATTGGAGGTATTGCTTTGAAACTGACCATACTTGTTTACCATCACGACCTTCATCAACAGACAAGAGGACATAACTCTGTCAAGGTTTTTGACAGAATTATGCCCCTTTTTGACTTAGAAAATACATTGAATATGGGTAAAATCCACTTATTGCCTTAACCCTTTGAGATATTGCTTTGAAACTTTTAATGCTATTTCACATCATTACCCCCATCTGTACGCAAGAGAAGGTAACTCTGTCAAGGATTTGTTTTAAAAATTAAGGCCTTTTATCGACTTAGAATCTTGGTTAAGTTTTTAGTACCAGTCCACTTTTTGACTGAACTGTTTGAGATATTAATTTGAAAGTTGGAATACTTGTTTACAATCATGATTCCCAAACATGTCCAGGAGAAGGTAATTCTGTCAAAGATTTTATTTGAATTATGGCCATTGTTCACTTTAAAAATACAGAGATTCTTGTATTGCCTTTTACTGCAAAAACTTTTTTTATTGGCAAGCAATAAAAAAGTCGAGCGCGCTGTCTTACGGACAGCTCTTGTTAAAAGTTGCCTAATCAAATGGACAACACTAAAATGTATTGTTGTGTTAAAGTTTAAATGTTGAGTGAGAGAATTGACATGTTAATGAATGTGTATATTTAATTTCAATGAATCATTGATGCCATATTTATATATTGTTACATTTTTTATGGTTAATTGTTTTTATATATGTTGATTTAGAGATTTTAGGTTGTTAACTTTAAATCATATGCCCCTTACTGCTGTAAGTTCGAATTCTGTTAAATAACACTCATTTTGATGTTTTATTAAAAAATTTAGATGTACATTGAATGTGCCAGTTAAAGATTAATATTTCAAATGTATTTTGTTGCTACAGCTGAGGTAGAGAATTTATATGTGGTTAACATGAAAGTTTCAATGTGATACTGAAGTAGAGAATTCATATCTGTATAACTATAATTGTTATACTGAATAAAAGAATTTATATCTGGTTATCCTGTAAGTGTAAAAAGAAAATTCATATGTGGTAAGTGTGTAAGCTTCAGTGTAATTCTTTATATTATTGGTTATAAAGATTGTTGACAGGTTATATGGCCCTATATAAACGGCTATTTGTAAATATAACCCGAGCTGCAAATAGTCATTTATATACAGCCATATAATTTGTCAGCAATCTTTATAACGAATTTATAATACTGCAAACATCATTTTTTAGAGAAAAAAGTAAGATTTCTTCATAAATCGACAACAGCAGTGTATAGAAAACTATATAAACGTCACGATTATCCAATGAATAGCGATGTTACAAACGTGCAGTATTATAAAGATAACATAATTATATGTGGTTTGTAAATATGTTTCAGTGTAATAAGTAATTTGAGAATTTATATTTTGTTAGTGTGCATGTTTCAGTCCTTTGCTGAATTAGAGAATTGTAAGGCGTGTTTGTATATGTTTCTTTTTATTGCTAAGGTTGAAAATCAAAATCATGTTTGTTATTTCATTAAATTCCTCAAATTTATATACAGCTAGATTAGGGAGCAATTTTGTATAGTTTTAAATATTTTTATAGAATTCCATTTGTCTGTGATAATTTTACCCATCATGCTTTGTTATGATATAGATATATTAAAAACAAATATAATAGCTTTATTTTTCATATAGAAATCATACTTATTGATATAAATTTTACTTGTTTTTTTTATAGATATAAACATGTATATGTGAATATTAAAAATGTTTTTAAAATTTATTTCATAGAAAAAATGTACCAAAACATGTTGTAATGTACTATTTTGTAATAATATATATACATGTTTGTTTTATTTAATAGACATTTTATTGATGACTATCAAAGGTTTGTTATGTTAAATTAACGTTTAATTTTAAATGTAAAGGTTTGAATGCTTTTATGTAACTTATTATTATCACACAAGTGGCTTGTTTTCAATTTATTAACTATTAACAAGTTCTTTATATATGTATTATACATAGTAAACACTTACCTCATTAAATATCTTAAATGGACTTGTCCATCTTTATAAAAAAAAAAAAAAAATAATAATAAAAAGATTATTGTTAGGGAGTTTTTCAAAATAAGGCCTTAATAAACCCAAACTGAATAGCAAACACTACAGACCATGGTGTGATGTACAGGCACTGATCACATGGATTGCTGCTTGTGAGTTAAAGGTTATTATTAAAATTGTCTGTCAAACGGTGTTCCAGCTAAACTTGGTCTGAACTGGTCGCATGGGTAGAAACTCTTGCTGATAGGGAGTTAAGGGTTAATTTTGAAATTGCCTGCCAAACATTGATCGGCATTCAGGCTTTATAATAAAAAGAATTTTGTATTTGTTTTCAATTGTATACTTGGCCACAGGCTTATTTTTACAGTTTCCTACACTTGTTTCATGTAAGTTAACAAGGAATGACAGCGCATACTAGATTCTATGTAATTTGTATTAATATTTTTGATAACAAATTTATTTGATTAAGAAATTATATTTACTAAGATCTGTATACATTTCATGCAAGATCTTAGAAAGACAAGACAATCTATGTCCATCAAATAAGGCTTATAAGCCCATGATGACATTATAACAGCATATTTACAAGATAACAAACAGTACATATGTAATGTACAAAACATTATCACCATATAATAATGACTTTAGAAATATACATGCCAAAAGAATTTTCTCTGGTTATGCTGTTAAAAAAGTCTGAGACAGAAAAAGTACAAAATTCAAACATTTTCTTGCCAATACTGATGATGAGAAATTTGTAAATCAATTCAATTTTGCCATATTATTGATACAATTTGTCTATGAATAAAATGTATGAATTATCTTAAAAATCTGTTTTTATTCGTTTCTATCGTTTCTATAGATACAATTTTGTATGGTACATATATTTATATTTTCGAGTTTATCCCAATTTCCATCCTATTCTCCGTTCTTCCATATTCTTTGCAAATATTTTGTAAATAAACT